GCTATTTTCAGCATTCTTCCCCCTCTGTACTCTCTCAATGTTGCAGCATAGTGTTCTGCAGTACGTGAGGTGTTTTTACCAAATGTTTATATACAGTAGTTTATCCATCAACTGTTCCTTTTTCTGCTCTGAATGAGGTATGATTTATCTTGGGTTTAGGTGATGTATGACAGTGTACCTTGTGAACTGAGCAGCAATATCCACTGAAATAGTAGAAGTTCTTACAATATTTGATGTTTCAGTTCAACTGCAAAAATCCAGGGATCTTTTCAAGAGTTGTCTTTGTAGAATAGACCAATGGATGGTCCAATACAGTTAATGACAAAGCATTGCTGAAAACTGAACAGTCCTTTGCCACTTAAAATAAGCCTGTACCTAATAAGCAGTCTTCTTTAATTATCATTTTTCTTCCAGGAAAGATAAAGTGGTGATGACTGTACTATTTTTTAAAACAGTATGTAGGCCCTAACAGGGAAACCCTAGTAGAAAACATAAAGTGTAGTACCTTTTTCCAGGTCTTCAGATACTGTGTTTTCTGACAGCCTTTTTATTAGATGTGAAAAAAAATAGCTAATGGATTAAGGATCTCTCTCTGTCTCTCACATACACTTTTTCTAATTACCAAGGCAGAGAGAATTGGGTGATTTCTGTTTTATTTAATAATTGAATTGAATAAAGTACTCAAATCTTCCACATCCTTGCCTTTTTAAAGATATCTGATATAGCATTGAAGGTTTGTGTTTCTAGGATTAATGGGGCAAATGCATTCCACCTGACATTGTTTGGAGATGTGCCCACATGTTTTCAATTATTGTAGTGCACTGACTTCCTCCCTCCACATTCTGAAATTTATTGCTCATCTTATTTTTAAATACCTCAGCAGCAGATATTGACAGTCTAATAAACTCTAAATTTAATCAGATAAGTTTTTATCAATAGGGCAAAACAGGATATATAGATATAGTATAGCAAAGCATAGCATAGCACAGCAAAGGTAACACATGCCCTCCAGCATAATTCTACAGTACTCAAAATAAAGGGCAACTAAATTAAATGGAGTTCCCATGATTAAATGTACAGACTTTAAAAACTAATTACCAAATTCAACTTGAAACATGATTATATTAAGATTCCTCTACAGAGTCTCTATTCCAGTGGTGGCGAACCTTTTAGAGACCGAGTGCCCAAAAACTGGCCCCGCCCCACTCCACCGCCTGCCCCGCCCCTGCTCCACCCCCACCCCGTCCCCTGCCCTGCCTGCCTGCAGGGCCACTCACCGCCTCCAGGGCCCACCGCAAATCACCCAGGCAGCCCAGCAGCACCATGGAGGCCATACTCTCTGCCCGTGCCCTGCAGCATCAACTGTGCATGATGGGGCGTGAGGGCAGAGTCTTGTCTACGCTGCCTGGCTGCCATATATTGCTTGCGCTGCTCCGCGTGGGCCACACTCGGGGGTGACTCTTCTCCAGGGGGGCTGCTGGTGAGGAGGGGGTCACGGGGGAGGCGAGGTTGGGGCAATGGCATGCATGCCCACAGAGAGGGCTCCGAGTGCCGCGTCCAGCACGCGTGCCATAGGTTTGCCACTACTGCTCTGTACAAATATGAAAAACAATATCTTCAGAATATACTGCATTAGAATTTCCTAGATTTGTTTCAAATTAGGGGGAAATAGTTGTGAATCTCAACTGTAATTTACCAACTATTAAAAGTGAGAAAATGTCTGGAATTTTCTAAAATCCAGGCTCTTAATATTTCTGAAAGGGTATTTTATTGCTGATTTGGAATAGTGGAGAACTGAATCCATAGAGGGGTGTTTTGAGGCATGACCTTCAATAGCAGTTATATAAACCAAATAGGGACCATTTTTGTGCATGTGATGCAGACTAGAAGAAGAGGGTTCAATACCACTCCATCTTATAGCAAATCAATTTATCTTTGTTTGTTATATCAGCTTTTTAATTCCATGGGCATGTTTTAAAAACGTTACAAATACAATGGAGGAGATTTGTCAGGCAGTGATATTAAACTACTATGATTTCTGTTCACCTGCTTAAAACATGCAGAATCAGGATGACTCTGGAATCACTGTATACTTTTAAATTTCTATAACAAGAAATAAGCATTACAGCAGGCAAAGTGTCCTTATAATTCATTTCTGTTTTTGTATTTGGATTCATAACTTTTAGGAGATTCTGTGGAAAATAACTCTACCAGAAAATTTAGAGGAACATTCAAAGGCAGCTTGATGAATCCCACCATATGGGTGATTCATACAGCCAAAATACTTTTTGGACCATCTCTTAAGGGTGGTATCTTTCCTGAACTATTCTTTTCCAGAGGAAGATTCAGAGTTCCCTGAATGGGATGTATGGAATACTGAGATGATCTGTTGGCTCATTCAACTACTATAATTACTGAAACTATTTTAAGAATGAACATCTTCAGTTCAGCATTTAATATACAACTGACTTAAAACCATGTCACTGAGATAATCTGCTATATCTGATCAGAAGGTCTCTATTCTTAAACTAAATGATTTTAATAATAATAATAATTTAATATATAACTGACTTAAAACCATATCACTGAAATAATCTGCTATATCTGATCAGAAGGTCTCTAAATGATTTTAATAATAATAATAATTTAATATATAACTGACTTAAAACCATATCACTGAAATAATCTGCTATATCTGATCAGAAGGTCTCTATTCTTAAACTAAATAATAATAATAATAAAAATAATAATAATAACAACAACAATAATAATAATACAAGCACCTGCAACATAACACCCCAGACTTAACAACTGTCGATAAGAAAGACAAAAAAGTCTGGATAGTGGACGTGGCAGTGCCTGGAGATAGCAGAATAGACGAGAAAGAACTGGAGAAGATAACAAAATACAAAGACCTACAAATAGAAATAGAAAGACTGTGGTAAAAGCAAGCAAGGGTAGTACCAATAGTGATAGGCTCCTTGGGTACAATCCCAAAACAACTGGAGCACCACTTGAACACCCCTGGCATTGACAAATTCGCTATTAGTCAATTGCAAATGGCGGCCTTACTAGGAACTGCTTCCATCCTGCAACGATATCTGTAATACCATCAAACATCCACATCTGCCTATCCCAGGTCCTGGGTAAGGACTCCATAGGTAGACAAAATGCCAAATCCAGTCTGAACATCTGGCTGTCTGTGCGATGATCCATAATAATAATAATATCCATCATCTACTTCAAAGTGGCTATCCTTGAACTAAACCATGCTAAAATTCTGAGATTCTTTTATGGATTTTTAAAATCATATTGAAGATATTAATTTAACAATGGCAGTATTTATTTGCTACAGTTCTATACTGTTGTACTCTCATAGGACTCATGACAAAATGTTTCTATTATCTATCACTGATGCTGCCTTTTTTGACATTATCACTGTGGTTTTTCTCTTTTGCTTTCTTATAGTTCCACTACAATTCATTCACATCTTAGTATATTATTTAAGATTTTATAAATTGCACAATCCACAAATTAAATCTTAGGACAATATCTACAGTATACAATTTTGAGATCTGCTATAAGCATGTATATAATACAGTAAACCTGCTATAGTGTATACAATCATGCATCCTCAGAGAGGGATCAGGAAAAGAGTGAGTTAAAAGACAGGATATAAATGAGAATAAAGAAATAAATTAGCTAGCTAACTAATTGACATGCTGAGTGGGAATTCTGGAAGTTGCAGATCTAATGCTTCTACAAAATGCTAGGATGGAGAAAATAGGCATAGGTCAATATCCCTGATATATGAAGTTACCTCAAATTTTAATATAACGCACAATACAATTATATGTGCAGATATTACATTGTATTAAAATCCATCTTTAGGAAAAAACTAACATGTTTGGGAAGAGCTATAACTCAGCTTTTTCATCCAAATACCATGTTCTTTATAACTGTAAGAATTGAAATTCTGTAAACTTATAAATCCTTTTCAACTCAGTGATGCTTGTTCAAAGTACACATATATAAGATTATATTTTCAAGCAGAATATTCTGACAAATTATTCCCACTTTACGTATTATAAAGCCTTTAAATTAAACCACTTATGCATGATAGAATTCAAATATACTTAACAACAATAAAGCCTGATTACATTTTTTTTCATACACCAAAGAATCAAGATGGATATTCTTTAAGCCAATCAACACAAGCTAGGCTGTACATCAATACAACTATTAAGTATAATTTTAAAGTACCTCAGTCTGTGCTGCATTATAAATGCCTTTCTTGCAGAAATTGTTCAAAATTTTGTTTTAGTAGCAACACCTTGAAAGGCTCCTTTCCTTCAAAGTGGGCTATTTGTCTATTTCGGTGCAAAGGAATAGCATCTCCTTCAAAGTGCATGCCAAAAGAGAGTGCATTTGAATCCAGGCCACAGATGCTATTTTAAAGCTGTATTTTACCTTAATCCGTTTCATAAAAATGAATCTTAATATGCAAAACTGTACTTGCTTTGTATTGTGAAATATGACATATAACAATGGAGAGTCCTCAGTTAATGAAGGCTATTGGGACTGGAATTTCCATTGCTAAGTGATGCAGTCATAAAGTTGCTTAGCAACAGCAGTTTCAGCACTTCCAGGTTGTTGTTGTTAAGCAAATCTCAGACTGTCATTAAGTGAGGACATCTCATGGTCACCATTCAGCACCACTGTAACTTTGAATACACACCAAAAAAGTGGTCATTAAATGAGGACCACCTCTATATAGTTATCATTTTTATAACTGTTACATATGTAAACCTTTTTTGAATAAGGTCTTGATATATTATAGAGGCACATAGCACATTTATGATCCTATATACTAATCAAAATTAGGAATTATATATTGATACAGTAAGGAAGGAAAGTATGCAAGAATGTTCTTTATTACTTTTCAGAGGAACAAATCAACTACAATAATTACGTAACAACTTCTGAAGAGAAGTGTGCATTTTGGTTTATAATCATATAAATATATTCTTTCATCTATAGAAGAGAAGTAAAATGTCTTTACAGGACAGAGAAAATATAAGAGAAGAAATCTTCAAAAATGGATAAAAACAATTTGAATGATAACTTTTAAAGGAATTATCAAGAATGAAATTCATGTTTTAAACAAAAGTTTGTTTTAAACAACAAGAACAAAAACACTATTTCAAAACACTTGTGTTGTGTGAACAAATATTGTTTTTTATCCCATTAGGAAATAGGAAATAAATCACAATTCATGACATGTAAGGACGATTGAATATATGCTCTAGAGTGAAAGTGAAAAACTCTTGTTACAGCTGCAGTCCTTCATGTTTTCCTGTGATTACACCCTTAGATAGGAGTTGGCAGATCACCAATGTGTTTACAGTTTTATTATAATTATAATTCCTGGTTTAAATTGAATGATAAACCAGGATTTGAATAAAGTAAACCAGACTCCTATTTCATTCTTCCACCTAATGCAGAGAATTAGAATTGTATATCTGCGCCTAGCACTTCACAGTTTAGCATTGCATATGAACAATAGCAGTCCGTTTGATCATACTAATCATACATTCAGAACATAAGAGCTGTACTTGAGGTTATTGCCTGTACTGTTTCTATTATTTTCAATGCAAATAATTCATAAGCATATATGTATTATTTGCCCAGAGAATATCAGTTATTGGCAGCTTAGAAATTTAATCAGTAATTCTAATTTACACATAGAATAACTATGTGTATGTAGGAGTTGGATTCTATGCATGGAGACTTATTTGTCTGTTTGAATGTGTATGGTTTCTTGACTGCTGTGGGGAAAAAATTGAAACTTGGCCATTTTTAAATCATCAATTATTCAATCATGAAACAGGAAAAGCACAGTATGAGTTAAATACTTCTAGTCTTAAGTGAAAACACCACCACCATCCTTTCATGGTTTAGTTTCAACAAACCTGCTGTTTATTTTCTCTTTTGCATCTTTTTTCTACTTTGATGACTTACTGGTTCTTGATTTTTTAGGTTTTGCATAACTTCTTTCTTTTTCCTGTCAATACAATATATTAAGCATTAAAGTAAATTATATTTACATCTAAGAAAATCAAAATTGCTATCACAAATGTCATCTATTATTAATTTATGTTAAAATGTATATATGATTTCCAATAATCAGTTGGCTGATCAAAAGCTAGGATTTACAAAGTAATCAAAGTATACAGTACATTTTAGGCCTAAAACTAAATATTTTACTATAAACAAACATTTCTTTCAAAATTGTACTTTAAATAAAAGATGAATAAGCATTGAAATGTGTTTTGGGTATTTCCAAATTTATATAGAAATATCCCTATACTATACTAACAAATCAATATTTAATAGTCTTAAAAATATTAAGTACATTTATTGTTATCTTAAGATGAGATTTATTCAACAAAATATTTTATGTTTAATGAACATGTCAAAAATTTTTTAAAAGGAGATGGCTGTGAATTTCACTAGGCTGAGAGCGAGGCACATTTGCACATGTGATATGAACTTGGTCTACTGTCATCCCATTTGATTTATGTATGTCAAAATAGTTTTGGGAAGAGTAATATGATTTAAAGATGTGGATGTCATGATGGATTATAAACCAAAAATTTGGATTTTATCCTTATTTAAATCTGTGATTTTACTAAGCAAAAAAGAAGAGCATAGAAAGACAAAAAAGAAAAGACAGTGCTGATCCAGATTGACAAAACTGGATTGATAACCTATTTTCATTTCCTTCTTATGAACTGACTCTTTATTTGTGTAATGGAAAGTCTGATCAGCATTATTTTGTGTGCTCAAGGCTTAAAGCTATATTTAAAAACTGAGTGTTTTTTTTAAATCCTTTTTGTTGCTTGTGTATAATCCCTCCCTTTTGTATATAAATAAAAAAACACAAAATAAAAATATGGAACAAGTAATGCGAATAGGAATATTTGTGAACAAATAATTATAAAAGCTGTACAGCTATTTTTCAATTTTTAATCTATTTTATTTCATTTGTTAGTATGCATAATAATATTCACATTGGTTGATCCAAAATGATATGGTTGCTTTTCCTGGGAAAATAGCATAGTAAAAGATTTTGAGACTTGTATCTGCAAGTCTACTTCTTTCAGGATTTCTCTGAGGGTATGAGGCTGAGACTGCTTTGTTTATCTCAAAAGATGACCTATACTGTATAGAAGAAAGAATGTAATTCTGCTAGTTCTATTGGACATGCTGGCATCTTTTGCTGTGGTCCATCATGATAACTTGAAGTGTCTGGTTGGGTTGGGCTTTGGGATAATTATTTTGCTCGTCTTTCTTGTTGGGACTTGACAAGAAGGTGGTTCTGGGGGACAATGATTCAATATCTAGACCAGTAATTAATACTATTCCACAGGGTTTTTATCTATTATATAATTTAGCATTTACACGGAACTTCCAGGGTTGGTCATCCAGAATTTTAGAATGGGATCAATACACCAATAAGACCTAACTCTGCTATTCCATATCTCTAATCTGAAGGGACCAATCAGTACCATTGAGCAATATCTAATCTGAATAATGAGTCTAGATGATGGAAAACAATTTGAAATTTAATGCATACAGGACAGGCGGTCCCTGAGTAAGGAGGAAGCTGAATTCCCAAATTGAGATGAAACTTGTCTTGAATGAGTTGACTCCTCCAGAAATAATTTTTTTGCAGTTTGCTCTCCTCTCCATTGAACTGCGAGATTGTGGGTGGCAACTATGATGTGGGGCATGTCTTGTACAATTATGCTTCCTGAGCCAGATGAAGTAAAGTGATAGTTATCTATGGCTTGCTTGCAGCCTCTTGATGAATGTAATTGCTTTATGTCTCTCTCTTTCTGTGTCTTTATTATTAATCTTACATTGCTATAGCTTTTAAAACAATGAAAGTTCATTTCAGTATAAATCAGCATAATAATATTATTTTCCAAAAAGTTTTATAAACGGAATTTGGAATATCAATGACTTAATAAAGAGTACATTTGAAAAACAAAATTGATCTAAAATGGTTATATGTGCTTTTAAATACACTGAAAGTTTACAATGAAGTTCAAAAGTATATATAATATTAACCATTATATAGTTAAATGAATTATTGTGGTCATTCATTCTTATGCAGCATGAAATAGTTTCCTTAGGATCAGCAGTAGAAATCCAGGGAGCCATTTACCATTGCCCAGATTCTACAAGTAGGGTGGGCTACAAATGTTTCTAAGAATCCTGCAGCTCTTTGCTATTTATCATCTTAGTTGATGCTGATCAGAGATGAAATATCTACAAGGTTCCAGTTTGCCATTCCTAGCTTAAAATATTCCATTCTACAACCTAACCATTTTTTAGAATATCAGCTATTAGATGGCATTCATATCAGTATTATGTTGATTTTCAAATAAAATATATTCCTAACAACCACTTTCCCTGTTTCTGTTGGAGAAGTTCATGATTTTTCCAAGTTAGTTCCTTGGCCTAAAATTGATTCTGAATGTTAAAGGGTTTTAAGTTGCCCTGAACTCTTCTTCTTTGAAAGTTTGATAATGGAAGTTAATGTATCCCAGAATTAAAAAGTGTACTGCATGTTATAATATTTGTAATTAATCTTTATGAGAGTTGTACCAATTTCAAAAGTTATATCAACTAACATTTTCTGCCATCTAATGCCGTATAGTTTTTATTAAAGCTAGCTTCAAAGATTTATTCATTTGTAATCTATAAAAGGAACTACATGAAGGTAGCAGAGGGTTAATCTTATATCTTGTTATTTCACAAATCAATACTTTTAATTTAAGAAGCTCAGAGATATTCATGATGTACAGGCCAGGAAGTTTTCTATCCTGATGCTCACCGCCAATGTGTTATCAATATCTGGCTCAGACCAATTTTTAAAGAAAAATCAATACAGAACTTTTCTGTATGGCTCAGTTACTCCCATTTTATGACCCTCTAATCCAGGGGTAGTCAACCTTGGCTCTTTTATGACTCATGGTCTTCAACTCCCAGAATTCCTGAGCCAGCTGGAATTCTGGGAGTTGAAGTCCACGAGTCATAAAAGAGCCAAGGTTGACTACCCCTGCTCAAATCCCTTAATTCAGAATAGAGTCAGGGCAACTGGATGGAGCTAAGTGCCAGATGCCCTTCCTGACGCCATGCAGAGTTTACAGCAGGTATTTGTTCTTTGCATCCTAGGAGAGAAACATCTGCTGCTACCTAGCATTGAACTCTCAACTTTCCGAGTGGAAGGCGAGAGTCTTCACCCTTAGGCCACTATGCCACTCTCTGTATAGCTCAGATCTGATTTAATAAATAGACTTGATACATATAGACTACATAAATGAGTCATATGAAAAAGCAATAGGTGTCACAACAAATTTCTGGTTAAGCATGAGGAATAACATTCTTAAAAGTATATGCATGGAACTCAGCACAGTTCCCTGTGCTTGCTCCCTGCTTTTTATTATTACATTGTGTAAATCAGTATCACGAAAAGCTCCTGAACTGCTGTGTTATGCACATCTATATTATTTACTATACCTGCAGATGAGGTCTTGAGGTCTTAGTGATGTCTTGATAGGACACTGATTCTTTCCAATCTCTTTTTCTTTTGGATTTATTGGATATTGTCAGCCCTTCAGATCCTGAACTGGTTAATCTGTAATCATTTGTTTTTGTTTCCTTCACTGAATTTGGTATCTGATTCTGAAATACTCTAGGAGCTCCTTCAGCTATTTCATCAGTTTTCTTCCATCTGAGAAGATTCTGACCTGCACTGAGATGTGCAGGTTTGTTCAGAAGCTGACTGGTGCTTGCTGTGTGATGCTTTGATTGGTTATCAGCAGATATCAAAGAAAAATGTAGCTTTGTAGATTTGTTTTTACTGGAATGTTTGGTTAAAACTGTTTCATTAAATAAAGGGAAGTTTAATAGATACCCAACATCTTTATTTTCTTCTTTTAATAGAAATTTGTTAGCTCTAATATTTTTTCTTTTATTTGTAACATTTTGAAATGATGTATCAGAGAGTGATTTGTTAATCTGATCTGCATTTGCGCTGAATACAGCCAATTTAGCAATTGCATTATCTGTTACTAGTTTGGGTAAATCTTTTGAAACATTTTTTGTTTTCTTTTCATTGATTCTTTTAGTGAACAGTCTATCCACTTGCAGTAACTTTCCTTTGAAAATGGGTATGATCCTCTTGGCATCATTTGATTTCAATGTTGAACCAGAATTTTCTGATGTTTTCCATTGTTGTCCAGTATTGATTTTGTCTTCTTCTATTCCAGCATACTCATCATCTGCAGAAGTATACAGTATTTAAAGAAAATACCAGTTTACAGATGGTTGACTTTAAGCTCCACCTTGTGGATATTATTTATAGTACATGCTTAAAAGTTTGAAATACAGCACCTTTCTTTGGAACTACTTGAGTCAAAGGTACCTTGCAGTTCCTTCCTACAGTAAGGTTGGCTGGTTTAGAGTTTACTTTCTGAAACATAGGAACCAAACAGAACAATCTGAACCACATTACACATCACTAATTAATTTTATATATCACTGTAAATACTTTGGCGTTAACAATTATAACTGTAATATAATACCAGAAAACAAACAGAAAATGCAGTTTTCTAGCTCTTAATAACACATAAAATACTATAATCTTCTCATGAAAGTTGGCACTGGATAAAAATCCATTCAAATGGACCTGTGCTTTTTATTAAGAGACTGAAAGCGAACAATAATTCAATTCTATATCAACTGTATTAGAATGAACTTATAGTTTTTGAGTTACCACCATTCATTCAATGACCATTTGCAGTAAACGACAGTGTTGAATGAAAGAAATTATGGACGTTTTTCAAACTTCTGGCCACTTCAGTGTCTTCGTGATCATGTGAACAAAATTTGGATGCTTGGCAACCAGTTCAAATGTATGACAGGTTGCAATGTTCTGCTGTCATGTGATCATCATTTTGCAACCTTCCCTGCTGGCTTCCCACAAGCAAAGTCAACAGGGAAGCCAGCAAGGAAGGTTCCAAGTCGCTTGAATAAGTTTCCCTCCCGGGGCCTTTCTTTACTCTCACATCTTTCTTCCTTCCTAGCTTCACTCCCAGGCACCTTGCACCTTCTTTCCCTGGCCTCGCTGCACTTGCACAGGTGTGTGCACCCTAGTTCCAGCTGACATTTGTTCTCTTGTTCATCCTATTGCTGATAAGGTGTCCCTGGCCTGGCCAGGTTGTGGCTAGGCTTTGTGCTGCACTGCAGTACAGGGGCTGCGTTTTGCAGGCTGTTCACACTTTGAAAAAAAAAAAAAAAAGCAAAGAAACAGCAGCTCTAAGCCACAGCATGCCCAAACCCCTATTTGCACCTGGGTGGGGCTGGGGCTGGCTTCATGCTGCAAAAAAAAAAAAAAAAGGAAAAAGGAAAAAGCAGTCAAAAGCAGGAGAGCAGCGGGTTAAAAGGGCATAGATGGAAGGAAAACAGGGTTGCTGCAACGGCTGCAGTTTCAGGTACAAGTCCTAAGAAATCCCTTCTTTCAAAATTGGTGTAATTTCAAATGATCGCTGAATTAATGGTTGGAAGTCAAGGACTATCAGTAATTCATTCTAGCCTCACTGCATTTGCTGGTATATCAGCACTTTTCACTATAAAGCTATATTAGCAAAAGTAAGATACAGAGGAATTTTCACACAACACTTGGCAGTTATATTAGAGATAATATATTTTCTAAGGTGAATTACCTTGTTTCCTCCATATAATAAAAACACTACTGTTAAGCATTTTTGAATAAGATAACAGAGTAAATTAAAACCCTTTAGCCTTGTTCAGATTGATGTTTTCATTTCAGATTTCAGCACAGCTCAGATATATACAGCTAGTGCCTGACTGGGCATGATGCAGTGTCTGTTTTCAAATTAGACACGGGATTAGATGCCATCTACATACAGCAGCAGCTTCTGTATCAATCCCAGTGGTCATTACCGCTTGCTGTAGTGAATTTCTTCCAGAAATATCTAGAATTCTTTGTCAACTAAGGCCAGATGGGAAGCTAGTTATATTCCCTTCCTCCCAGGAAGATTGTCGTGTAAAGTGATGTAATCAAATTCCATCTCTCATTCAGAAAATGTCAGGTATAGGGAGCTTATTTTTACTTTTCTGCCAAAAACAGTACTCATTTCCTTCGAACTAAAAAAATAAAGAGAGGCATAACCTGCCTTCAATTACTAGCCAAAGATCATACAGATGCTTAAATGCTTCTTTTCATGCTTCCAACTTTCTTTATTCTTTCTTTTCCATTACTATAACATAGTGAGAAGACGATTTTATTTTTTAATGTTTGAGCAGCATTGACATTTTTTTTAGACAATGTATGCATTCTAAATAACTAAATCAATAGCAAGAACTATCTTGGTTTAGTATATTTCATATTTATAAAATATAGATTTTAAAAATGGATGGAAAATAAAATATAAGAATAGAAAATTGTCTCCTGTTTTGTAAGCACAACATTTTAGACAAAGCCTCAGAGCCAAATCTGTATGGAACAGGCAGAGCTAAGATGCAATATGATCAACAGCTAATAAATACAAGCCAACCCAACTGATTTAAGATGTAATTCAACTGCAGTTTTAAAAAAATTACTGAATATCTAGCCTTGTTATGGAACATTTCAAAATACCAATAAGCAATTTTGTCAGCTCTTTCTCCCTTATTTTTATTACTCAAGACAACTTAGATTAGACTTGTGACTGATTGCTCTTATTTTTTAAAATCAAAGAATAATATTGGTACAAATCTCCATCTGGAAGTAATTAGTGTATAATTCTGCAAATAAATCGTTTTTTATTATTCAGAAGGTTTTTATAGAAAAATAAGTGTCACAGTAATCACAATTTGCATTTAGTTAGACCTTAAGGCAGTGATGGTGAACCTTTTAGAGACCGAGTGCCCAAACTGCAACCCAAAACCCACTTGTTAATCGCAAAGTGACACAGCTGCATCAGGATGGTGGTGCCCTGGGGGGGGGACAAAGGGCATGGCCCACTGGATGGGCATGGCTGCAGTGGTCACGGCAGACTGGGTGAGCGTGGCCAGGGCCAGGGCGGTGGGGGCCAGTCCTTCACCATTTCTGAGGCATCCCTGGGGGGCCAATGCCGCTTGCTCGCTCACTTCCTGCCCTGTCGCTTCCAAAAGCCACGTGCTCACTACTCTGGTAAACTCTGCAGGGGCAACAGCGCGCGTGCCCACAGAGAGGGCTCTGAGTGCCGCCTCTGGCACTCGTGCCATAGGTTCGCCACCACTGCGAACCTATGATTAAGGAATCATTTTAGTTATTTACGGATATACCAGTTACATCAGTGTTTTTGGTGTCACAGCAAAAACATTTGGTCTGCTCTAAGTGTTTACTATCACACTTTAGCTGTCTTTAAATTATGATAATAAAGCATTAGAAAAGCATTATATTGAGAAAAATGAAGATAGTTGACTTTCAATTTTAATAAACGATACACACATACACATTAACTTATACAGTATTACCTGAACAGATGCTGTTATAAAATTATTTGTAGTACACATTGCTTTCTGTGTCATCTTAAGAGGAAATCCACATATATGAGGAATGGCAGTCTTCAGATCAGTAACAAAAGAATCTAAAATAGATTCTAAATTTGCTCTAGGAAAGTACTGTACGGGCTGACTTCTGATGCAACTGGAAGGATATCTGAATCAGTATTAAGGGATGAAATAAACAATTTGATAAATTGATATTTAAAAGCATCAGGTTTACCATAGGCACAATTTCTTGAACGACAGGGATTCGTTAAAGTAAAGACAGCAAGTAAAACCTACAACGGATACTTTCTGCACAAAATCAGTGAAATAAATGAAAACTTCAGAAAAACTTGCTCATGTTTCATGTTTCAGCAGAGGTTTGAAACAACCTCTGTTTAAATGTAGGCGTTGGAGGAACGGAAATAAGAGTTTACAGGATTTAGAGGCTCCAAGGATCCACTGGTACAACAAGATTTGCTAGGTAAATTTGTGTGGTTTATATTTAATTGAGAGACTGGACCAATAAGAGAAGAAAAGAATTAGGAATGAAGTTGAGAGAAGTGGCAGTGGTAATATACTGTCCTGTGGTGGGGATGAGGTGTGCAGTTAGGGTTTAGCTGACTGCAATTAGGTAGGTCTCAACGATACTGGCAACAACACTGTAGTAAGTAAATATAGCAGTTGTTATTGCTGTAATTGCTAAGTTTACTCACTGAACACTGGTGAGGAATGGAGCCCTGATGGTAGTTCTGGTGGTAGCAATGAAACTAGCAGAAGATCAGAGTTGAAGCACACACTGCACCAAAGACTGTGGTCTGGAGCTGGAATGGCAGAAGTGACAGTGGAGGGATATCTATGATATTTCTATCTTCCAGGCATTCAACAACGATGGGAGGGAGTGATGAAGCCAAGGTGAACAGTGTATTATTGTTGTTGTTGTCATTTACACAACAATGTGAAATCACAGCTGCAATTCTTTAGTTGGTGTTGGTCCTCATACACATTGGGTTTTTCCCAAGAACCTATGTTATTAGTATGAAGCCTAGGTGTATTTGGGCATTTACAATTAGATAACATCACACACGGACAAGTTAAAAATGTGCTTGGTAAAAAATACATCCAAAGAACGAGAAAATTGCTAAAAGCAAAGCAAAATTGAACAGTGGAAACACCATCAAAACCTGGGCCTATCTGCGATACAACACACTGCTGTAATTATTAGTTAGACAGAAGCCAAACTGGACACTTTGGACCAAAGAGCAAGAAAACTGATGACTATTCACTACGCATTACTTCTCTGTTGTGGTATTGATAGATTATACCTGCCCTGCAGAAATGGAGGCAGATATTTAGAAGTCAAACAAATGGTCAAAGAAAAAAAGTGTGAATTGGGTAATTATGTAAAGAGAGCCAAGAACAAGTATTGATGCAAGTTAAAAATTGGAATTTACGAATGTACAGGAACTAGAAGCCCTGGAGCACAAGTAGGCATAAACTGTTACAAGTACATCAAACAGTTAAAAAAGAAAAAAGATCATTGGAAGAATAGCTGAAGGATGGTAAAGAAGATGCAGTGAAACTAGTAAATAGAAGTAGACTGACTATGGCATAGGAAAGCAAATATGGTATCAATAATAATAGGTGCATTGGGAAAAATCCTAAAACATCTGAAGCACCACTTGAACACCATCAACAATATAAAGTAACCACCAATCAATTGTCAAAGGTAGCTTTACTTGAAATACCTTACATCCTGCAATGATACATTTAATATAATTAAACAGCTCCCTCTTCCAGGTTTTTAGGAAGGACTTGCTAGGTGGACAAAAATGCCAAATATAATATAAACTTCTGGCTAATTGTGCAGTTGCCCATAACAATGGCAAATCACTCGATACACGAGAGGTGGGGCATGAAGCCTACAGCCATACAGCCCTGTCAGGGTTAAGTCAAAGTTAATTGTTTGCATTCAGACTTGTATACTCTAAATAAATTTTGAAGTCTTTTACAGATCTTTCCAGTTAATTTAAAACTGACCATGATGCAGAAAGTTGGAAGAAATAAATAAATGGTTGGCATTTATACTTCACTAACTTCTGAAGAAAAATGGTTGCAGATTGTTTTCTATATTTGAAAGCACAAAATGCAGAAAATCTACAATTAGAGCATAGAATTCTGCTTTAAGAAACTCAGTTTATACTGGGAAAAAATGGAATATGCATTGATCTGTTGTACATTTATCTCATCAAATGAAAGATAACTGTGACTACGAATGTTTATTTTTCATGTGGTAAGAGGCAGCATATTTATTTAATTTCATAACAAATATTCAGTAAGGGAGTATTTTAATAGCATATTTTTATATTATAATCTTGGCTCATGTTCCTAAGAAGGCACTACATGAAAACAAATAAAACATATAAAAGATATGTAAAAAGTTGTTCTCCTATCAGTCTGAAATAAATGTTGAAATACGTCTGTGAATCCTCTGGGAGAAGGTAGCCATACTAAAGATAAAATATATATGTAAGATAATACATAGTAATAACTTCATCAATTGATTTATTATTTACCAATGAGCAGATATGTATGTACATATGTACGTACGTACGTATTTCCTTACCAGATTTTCCCAATGTAACTGTAAATCACTGTATGAATGAAATGGAGAATCAGGTGGAATTAAATGACTGATACTCATAATCTGACCCATTTTCATACTGGAAGAGGTACAAAAAGAATATTAGAAAATTAGTATTAAGTGGTAGAAATCATAATTATACAACAGATATTTTAAACTAGGTTTGAAAAATATGGACTTTTATTACCCTAAAATAAGCTAAGCGTTATATATATATAATGATCTGTTATTCAAATATGTTATAAAGACACATCATAAAGTAACATTTTCACTTCACCGATCCACTAAGGCAGAAATGTGGCTCCAGTGATATACTAACATCTACCCCTCATTAGTATTATACATAGAACTAATGAAAAAGCCCTATTGTAATGTGATTTTGGAAATGAAGTTGGTAGAGGCAAGGTTGTTAAAAACAAAACCGGAATATAAATGACAGGAACCCCTTTGTAATCCCCAAATATGTTACTTGACTGTTGTTCTGGCATTTTTAAAATCTAAAGAAATAAACCATACAACTGGAATTTTTTTTCTGTAAGGTAGTTTTGTTCACAGATGTGAAGTTGTCATTTAGAAATAAGTGCCAAGAACTAAAGATTATACTGAGTTTTCAGAAATGCCTGTTCAAATTTAAAGAAGATATTTGCTTTGTTGTGTTACTACTCAAAATAGTTTGTTTTTGAATTTGTATTAAAAAAAGCTGTCTAAATATTCATGAAACTCTGAGAATGAAAAATTTTCTCAGTGGCTCCAATCATTAATATGTTTACTGTAATAAAAATATATTGCAGGAAACGTTTCATTCATCTTAATACAATTTCTTGTAAAATATGAAAAAACATACCTTGGCAAAACATAACACCAATTACTTAAAATAGAACATTCTGAAATGACTGCAGTGGTATCATTGTTAAAGCTCTTTATGATGTTTGTTGAAATATCAAAATCTTCAAGCTAAAATAGAAAAAAAAATAAAAAATTTTTGAAATGTTAAGTATAAAAATATAAAACAATGTATGTTAAAATAATATTGCATAAAAGCTTTCATTAAAAAATTAGTTATTACAATACATTTGTAACTAAAATTACATTTTAATAACTAAATCCCTTTATAAAGCAGTTTATAAAAATCGTGCTATAAAATTAAGGGATGCCTAATTATTTAATATAAAGCAGTCATTTAAATCCTTTCAGAGTTTGAAATTACTCTCGGTATGGATCTGTGATTTGCAATTTACTAACACAATATGCATATTAAAATAAATTACATCATTAAATGAAAAATACATGTTTTTAAATTTAAGTATCCAATTTTCTTTCTAATGAGTTAAAAATAACCAGTAAATCTTGATTGTGGTCATCAACAGAAATACACTAATAGATTGTGTTGTTGGTTTTTTCTTTTCTTTTGGAGTCACTGTTGACTCTTGGGATATTGCCTGGATTAATCCCTGCAGTTTTTGTGGCAAGATTTCAGAAGGGGTTTGCCATACTTGTTTACAATGACTGAGAGTTAGTTAGTGGCCAGAGGTCATCCAGCTGGCTTTGGGCTTAAGATAAGACTAGAACTCATACTCTCCTAATTTCTAGACTGATGCCTTAATCTTTACACCTAATTAGCTCTCTCAATAACTGAATACCGTTATTTTAAAATTTCAGTGTTATATCAGAAATCACCAATACAACTCTTCAATAAGATGAAAATTGTGCCTGATAATTTTTGTATGCATCTGAGAGAAAAGAGAACAGAAATGAGAGAGTGAGATGAATTGCTTAACAATAATTGATTGTTCTATTCTGTAAAAGAATCTTAAATAGTTCTAGATGCACAAGCACAATGAAGCCCCATCAAAAGCAAATGTAAAAAGTTACATTATTTTTGTACCTCAGGCGGTGGTAAACATATCCTGCATATTTCCACAGTGATGCAAAGTTGAGTTTCTGATACACTGATATCCACAGCTGAAATAAAATTCATAACACCCAGTATACAGCATTTTCATATATCCCTATTTTCCCCATAAGTGCATAAGGCAAAAATTATACTGAATTCTAAATGAGGTTGCTGCCCCCCAATGTTCTGTTTCAAGTTTAGTGAAGTTAACATATTTGCATCATCTCTATTATAAATTTATTTCTCCCTATAGCCCTAAATCTGGCCTTTGGAAAAGAATACGTAGTTTGTTTGCATTAGCTACTATTTTAGCTATTAAGAAATCTGAATGTGATCTGAAGAAAGCTGAAGTACTCAGAGTCGTAGTATCAGTAGCCGGCATAGGGTGGTGAGACATATAGTAATACACTTGGCAATATCATGGAACTCTTGCCTCCATTACTTGTTGGTTGGTGGCTGGAGTGGCTTGATTGCTATTTGGAACCGTGGTGATGAAGTGGTTAGAATGCAGTGTTGCAGGCTAACTCTGCCCAAGCCAGGAGTTTGATCCTGACTAGCTCAAGGTTGATTCAGCCTTCCATTCTTCCAAGGTCAGTAAAATGAGGATCCAGATTTTTTTTAAGGGGGGGCAATATGCTGACATTTGTAAACTGCTCAGAGAATCCTGTAAAATTATGGAGTAGTATATAAATCTAAGTGCTATTGCTATTTATCTCTGGAACTGCTTATCTTGAAGATTAAAATATTAACAGTGTCTGCTTAATATTATCTAGGTAAATAATATGATGCAGCAATTAATGTGTAACAATAGTTAATTATGCAAGGCAAGTGAAGTATTCAGTGATGATTACCAATGATAAATAACAAAGTGAAAGTTGCCTGCCTGAAAAACTACATCTTGATTTTGTTACATCTGAATCCCATGCAAAAATAATTGCTTGTGGTTGCTTACACTTTTAAATATTGCTAAACAGGAGCAGGACTAACAGGAAAACAAAGCAGTGGTATAAGTCTGCATTATTTGCTTGTGTGGTGACTCAATCTTGATTTCAATCATAAAACCTTTTGGTAAATTTATATGCCTAACAGTTGCTCAACTAATAATCTATGTAGACGATATTTGATATACCATTGATTTTTTTCATTCTTGCATGTACAAAATATAATTAAGGTAATTCCAGGTCTGTAAGAATGAGAAAATATTTATTCATAATGTACTCACCAACTGCATTTTGCTTTCCCATCTGTGACAAAAAATTTCTCCCTTAAAAATATGAGAGAGCTATATTATAACTCATAGTTAAAACTATACCAAAGCAATGTCTTTACAAATTAGCATATGAGGAAAATATGTTTACATTTCATTATACATTGTTTATGTAATGTTTGCATCACAATATATTCTTTACGTATTAAAGAGGAAAGAGAGGAATGTATTATTTGATAAATGGCCATAGGGAGAGAAGCGTGATTGGATCTGGGCTGCAGTTAACTCCTTCTTGGGAGAGGGAATGGTCCCATCAGTTCTTAAAGAGGCTTAAAGATCCTCCCTCTGGTCTGCGCAACTAAATCTTGGAGTCAAAGTCCATTCAGGCAGCATTGACTAAGATGGCATGCCTCTGGTCTTCTTGCATTCTGATCCAGACTATATTCCAAGGACTCAGAAGTTCTCTACTTGTCTGGATCTCCAAACTACTGGAGGAGAAATCATGTCATGTGGGAGCATCTCATGAATGGCCATAAAAATTCCTAACGAAGAGATAGGAATTAAGACAGTGATCCCAATTACCTGATGGTTCCTGGCAAAACGGCAACTACACCGCTGCTCCTGAACCTGATTTTTATAAGCTCTAAATGTATCATCCTCAAATACATGTCACAATCTAGCTTGGCAATATTGAGTCAGCCAACCTAATTAGCTTGCAATTTCAAGAGGAAAGTGCAGATTTTAATAGTATCCAAACATGTTTGTACTGACCCTAACTATGTAAAAATAAAGTAATATGTGTATCGCTCAAACAAAAATATAAAATATTGCATAAACTTTCAGTTATCATTTTCAGATGATAAAGAATTGGAGGTAGAAGTGGCTGATGCTGAAATTATATAGTCTACATTTGAAATATTTTCAGAAATGAAGAACCGATTGAAGAATATGTTTGTTTTCTATTTTATGATACATGAATTGAGTCATTACTATGATAATAGAAACTTCAAAAATTTTGCAAAGCACAAGCTCCCATCGACTTATGATTGGTTTCTTAGCAGACACCCCCCCCCAAAAGGTATTTACAACCCAAATTAGAAGTTCTGATGGCCTCTAGTCATGTGCTCAGCAACCAAGCCACATTTATGGCCATTAGCAGTGTCCCATGGACACATGATCATGATTTTTGATGTAAAATAATAAAAACCGGTGTTTTATGGCAAAAAACACCCATAGGAAACAATGGGTTCACTTAACAAACTCTGGTGTTTACTTAACGATTGCTGCAAAAAAGGACATAAAATTGATGTGGTCACTTGATAACCCACTTAATGACCATCATGACGTATGACCATAATTGCGGGTTCAATTACCATTGTAAGTTGAGGACTACCTGTAGTCAGATTTACTGAACAATATTGTAATAACTATAGCTAATAATAAATATATGCACCATGTAGAAAATATATAATACTATAAAAACATTTTGATTATCAAAGGTTCCAAATAATTACCTTGTATCAACAAGTGACCGGCTTGGTTCCAGTTAGGGGCAAGTTTGGCTCTAAGAGTATAAGAAAGGCAGACTTGAAAGATAGTTGGGGTAACACTTTCTGGCATTCCTACCTAATGAATATACAAATAAATAAAAATACATTTGTATTTTCTCTTTGAAAACATTGCCTCCATATGAAATTGAATATTATTATTATGGAACACCTTACATTTAATCAAATACAACCCATCTAGCAAAGTACAATGTATTCTCCAATGATTAAGAGTCAAACACAATAACCATATTACTGCTTTGTGTTCGGCGAATAACCCTTACAAGACGGTTCAGCCGGATAGCATGCTAGTTGTTCCATTGTAATTTGCATTAATGATTAACAAGACAGGAATAGACTTAAGTTAGGTCTGCACTGACAGCAAAGGTTAAATCCTCTCTTCCATTCTACTGGTCTCAATCAATATTATTCTTCTGTCATAACAATTATATACTAAGCAAAAATGCATCTAGACTGACCTTCAGCAAAGATTGTTCTAGTCTCACACCTGTTTTATTTTCTATTTTCTATTGGTACACCTACAAAGATTCTAGGCTGCCCTGTCAAACCTGTGGTAAAGCAATAACAATGGGAGCAATGCTATCACTGGAAAGATACAGATAGTACAACATTATCAAGCCATAAAATGACCCACAAATGACTCAGTCATAAAATGTATGCTTCACTGATTTTAATATATAGAATATTTCTGAAGAAGGCATTTGCAAATCATCTACTGTATAGTAAAGCATATGACAAATTGCTTATTTAGGTCCGACATAATACAGCTAATGGACTCATGATATGGTGATTGCAAATCATGTATTGAATGCTACAAGTGGTAGGGATTGTATGACTGTTCTTAAAAAGTATGGAAATTAAGTGAAGAAGTGTGCTAACTCATAGAAGATTGTTGGAATTTCACACCTGTTTTATTTTCTATTTTCTATTGGTACACCTACAAAGGTTCTAGGCTGCCCTGGGAAATCTGTGGTAAGGCAATAACAATAGCAGCAATGCTACCATGTTTCCCCAAAAATACAACCTACCTCGCTTGATTTTTGGGGTTGGGCCTAATATAAGCCCTAGCCCAAAAAGTAACCCCTATTTAAGACCCTGCCCACTCCGTCCCACCATAGGCTTTTTATCAGGAGTCAAACACTGAATATCCTGAGAGGTCACAAGCATTGTAATAAGAGGGCACTGCACCACTCAGCTTAATTTGGATATTAATCCAGCATTTTTCCAAAAGAGCACTAAACCTCCATTCAGAAATAGCTTGACTGAGAGGTCACGGGCACAGAGGACAGGTGTTGCAACATGCCAGATAATCCTCTCTGTGTTACCTGTGTCCTGTCACTATTTGTTGCATGTGCTAGACCCATGTTTTTTAAAATAGACTGATTAATCGATCATAGGTGCAGAACATTTCAGCATCTGCAACTTGTCACTTCCAGAGCTTGAAAGACAGCTGAATCTCACATTCCAGATACTTGTCTACACTTGCCCAGCTTGTCCCATCACATACTTGTTTTTCTGGTAGGCAGATAAGACTCAGTGGGAAGAAGAACAAAGCCAAGATAATCCATTAAATATTTTTCATAGCCTGAGTTACATTACAACTGATAAGGATGGCACCACTTGCAGCCTTGTATTGATACAGAATAGAACTCAACAATCAGGGCAGTACAATTTATATCAAGCTACTTTTATGTAGATTCCAGTACTGGAGGAATGAACATTAATGGAGCATTAAACAGAAATATAAAACTTAAAACATAGAACAGTCTCATAAGATGATTATGATTTGGGGGCCATAGATGAACACAAAATACCACTTACCAGAAGGCCAACTGATGAAATTCTCCCCCACTCCATTTAGACTTTCAGGATACAGTCTACTGTCTTAACTTATTTATAGGGAGTCATCAAGTTACAACCATAATGGACCCTGCCCATTATGGTCATCATGGTCATATTTTACAACCTTTTTTGTGGTAGTTGTTACGTGACTGATGTGGTCATAAAGTAAACCAATGGTTAGGGTAACTGCTGTTTTTTTTGGCAAAACTAATAAAACATGGTCATATGACCTCAGGATGTTGCAAACAGCCATACATATAGCCCAGTGCCAAAGTGCGGTCATATGACTGTGAGGGGGAGGGGGACAACCATCAGATCTTTGAATCTGAGTCATAAGTAGCTCTAAAGTAGGTCTGTTGATTGGAGAGAGAGGGGTTACAAGAAAGTAAGCAAGCACACAATAGGAAATACACTTGGCTATTTGCACAGCCCACTCATGGCTTCCTGCCCTAAGTGCACTCTTTTTGAAGTGTATTCCCCATCTTATTCTCTTATAATCCTTTTCCTTCATAAAAAAATATATACACATTTTCTACCACAATCAGAAGAAAAACATACATTATTGTTTTCTGATTGGTCTATGGTGTTGACATCCTGCTCATTGACAGATATTTTTATTTATGATGCATAAAATTTTCACTGAATTGATGTACGTCACCAAATTTACAATAAAGCCATGATGGCCAACATCTATAGATTGTATAGCCTAAGATATATTTTTAAGATCAATGTGGATACTCTTGTTCATTGATCAACCTGGCGCATAGATTAGTAAAAGTTCTGTGCAAGGTTTGATTCCGTTATAGCTGCTCAATTATATTTTTGCTACTTTGTTATTAGAGCTTATTAGCATGGCTTAAAAAGAAAGGTCCACTCTGATTCTATAGTTCAGGACTGGATAATCCATGGTCAACATGTAGTTATCTTTAGCACCCCATTTCCAATCCTGTCTTCCGCAAGATTCACTGCCAAAATCAGCAGTGACCAATTTTCTGCAGCACAGTTTCGGGCCATCTTTAAGCACTTGGGAAATGGATTTAAGGATGAAAATGGCAGTGTTTGTTTTCCAGAGGTTCTCCAGCCCTTTTTTTCATTTTTATTCCTCCTCTCAAAGGCATAACATCTTTGTTCAATCCCCTTACAGTGACATAATTACATTAAAAAATTGTTCTTGTAGCTCTACGGTAAGTTGGGAGAATGGCTTGGAATCCCTGCATATCAGAGGTTCCCCAGATCTGCCGATGCCTACATCTATTTTCCATAATCTGGTCAGCTTCCAAATATTTGGATTTCAGTTCCTATGACAGTCCAGGCAGCATATCAATTTCTAAGAAATCTGGGACATGAAATTCATATGAAAAATATTGTCAACTTTGTGAACAATATTTTATAAACACTTATAAATACTTTGATCAGCATAGTATATGAATTGTAGTAAATTAAATGACCATATTATAATGTCATAAAATAAAATGTAAATATCTAAAAACTCAGATACATTAAACAAGCATTTTTTTATATTTTGGTAAATAACATGTAATTTTCCAACAGCCTTAATGATATACACGCATCTTACCTTAAGTATATATTCTATATGCAAGGAAAAATATATTCAAATTCATTATTTATTTAAAAAACACAAATTTAGAATTAAATATTTCTGTTCCCATCTGTTTTATGATAGCTATATTAAAAAAGCAAACTTCATCACAAACTACACACATAACTAATATAAATACATTCTTTGTATGATAAAGACCCTGCAGAGGTTAAACTAAACTATACAGGAAAGCTTGGGATGTTTTCATATGCATAAATAAAACAACCAGAAAAAATAATATTCATCACTTACTGTAGCTCTGTGTTTCTCTATATAAGCTTGAAATGTTCCTGATTTAAAAAAGGGTATCTAAAACAAGCAAAAGATAAGTTACAGCATATATTTCCTCTTTAAATTCTTTTTTGTCTTTACCTGTTCTTTGAATAAATCCTTCTGCAACATGAATCCTTTGGGAAATACAAGTGAAAGATACTGTTTCTACTTTCTTAAATAGAAGAAACTCATTTAATATTACTGTTAACATGTCAAACATTGAAGCCAAATGCAAAATCACTGAGCATTTAGTTTGAAAGAGAACTTCTATAAATACGTAAGAAATCAACAGAGGCAAATCAGAGCGTCTGAGATATAAATTTGTAATTAAGAAAATGTAGCCTTTAAGAACAGGAAAATAGGGAGGAGCTACTGAGTAAACAGCTTGACCGATGCAAAGTTGCTGGTAAAGAAGCAAAGTTATGATAAGATTCAAGGCACGTTCACATACGAGAGATTTCACTTTTCCACCCACCATCTGTCTGTCATAAGCCAACCTCTGAAGGCAACCTTATATGATTTGAATTTTAATTTGCTTCAGAACTGCTTGACCAGCAGGGCAATTTTAAAAAATGGAACTCAAACTCTGTCCTAACCCTTTAACTACCACAGCCTCAGAAATAAGAAAAGAAAATATCTCTTATTCCCATACCACATGAATGGAAAAAAGTAGTTTGCCTTCACCCCATGCTTTCAAACACATTATATGCATTTATAAGGCTCTTTGCATAGATAGACGAACAAACAGACAGGAATTAGTAAATTGGAGAAATAACTCTTATAAACGATTGTGACAAAATGTTATGTAGTTGTCAGGTGTGATTTGGTAAAATAAAAGATGGAGTCCGGATTTGTCTTGATAAGCCAAACATGTTTATTCAGCTGAGTATAGACGGGTCCTCCCTAAAGATGGAGGAACCCTGAACACAGTGTGAGACAGATATTTATGCCTTTTTTTTTTTTTTGCTTTAGTTTGATTACATAAGAGGAAGCGGCACACAGCAGGTAAGGTATAGAAATTAAATAGTCAAGCATGCCTTCTGCTGAAACTGCAGGCTAGTGGTTTCCTTATGGGCTTTCCATAACCTCAAAGGTCAACTGAGGCTTGAACTTTAACCTTGCCATCTTAACATATGATCAATCATTAAATTCATCAGATTTCTGATCAACAATACAAGTACTCCAGATAGTAGTTCCTTGAATTTAGAACTCTGAGAGATGAAAGAATAGCCATCTTGCTCAAATCGTGGTTGGAACCTTTGAAAAGACACTAAGTTTGTATACTTCCCTTTTTAATCATTTTCGGAAATTGCTGGTTAACTGTTAGAAACTATTAGAAATTTTTGGATCATGTCTGATTGCATCTGATGAGTTTTCTTTAATCCTTAGTAAAAAAAATTAACTACAAGTTTAATAATTTAATTTTTTTGAATGAATAGCAAAAAGGCAATTAAAACTTTGATTTTAGAAAGTTACAAACAGTTAAGGATACAAATAAATTTTAAATAACATTTTGGAATTAATTATAAAGAATTCTTCCCATAGGAAAATGCTTTTGTTTTGAACTTTTAAAAAACCATAAGATTTAAGCAATTGGACCCTAGAGGGAGCCAAAGATTACAATTAAAGCAGAGGTCCCCAACCTTCTGGGCACCATGGACCAGTTATGTGGAGAGAGGTGTTTCCGCGGACCGGAGGGGGCATGGTTTTGTGTGCTGCCTGGATCCTGCAGATGGGGCTTTGCTTGTTTGTATGGCCCGGTTGCTGGCATGCCGTGGCCCGGTACTGGTCCACGGACCGGGGGTTGGGGACCTCTGAATTAAAGGACAACACAGACTTGACCAATAATTACAGAATGAATCAAAATATTCTAACATTGGACATAATGAAGGATATTTCTGAAGAATGGACTCTGATGTTAATATTAACAGTGTTGACAGAGACATCTGCCTGTATGGAGACTTTGTGTCTAAAAGATGTTATGGAGGAAAAACAAGTTTCAATTTACAAAATGGGCTTTTAAAGTTTTGAAGAATCTCATGAGAAGGAACAAAGAAAAAAAAAAGAAAAGATATCCAGTTCTACAACATTATTTGAATGGACACAGACTAATATGGTTAGAAGAAATGAAAGAAATATAAAGTTGGTTTATCTCATCAAAGTTAAAATAGATGCTATTTTTTTCTGCCAGCCCTTAATGGACTTTTGCTGGAACCAAGACTGAAATAACACTGCTTTATGGATCTATTTATAGATAAGAGATGGAATATGGGAAGAAAAGCTCATTGTTGTATTTTAAGAGGTGATAAGTTGCTAAAATTGTTTCTAGTTATTGTGGGAATAGATGAGAAGTCACTTCTTTATATATTTCTTTTCTTTTCCTTTACTACATTCTTATTTTCCTTTTCTCTTTCTCCTTTTTTTGCATCTGCTGCTTTTTTTTCAAGTTTGTATTAGTTTTTACTGTATAATCTTATAGAGTAAAGTATAATAAGTACAGTAATATTAAGATAATCTTAATATAATTACTATAAAAAGAACATTGCAATTTTCAGATAAAATCAAATCCAATATTAACAGGGATTAACCCATTAAGATTGGGTTTCATGACAAAGTTAGACATATTCTTTCCTTAACATCTTAAATTGCAGCAGAAGTTGAGCAAAATGTTCCTGCAATCAGGATTTGGGAAGCATAAACAAGACCATCATAAAAGCAATCCATTCACTCATTTTGTTCACTTATAGAGGACAAGATGAAATTCAGGAGACATCTAACGTGCTAGGGAGATGAAGATTGAAAAGGCAGATGAAGAACAAAAATAGTATTGCTCGCTGTTGATGAGTAAAGAAAAACAAAAGGCTAATCACATGTATATTTTTATAGTGGATAAAATATGTTATGATCAATATTGTTAAGTTCTTAGATCTTTTTTATCAATTTAGTATAAATTGAGGGTGTGAAATGCATACCTGCTTGCCTCCAGTAAGCTAAAAGGGAAAAAAATGCTTTTTGAAACAAAGCACTCTGTGTGAGAGATATGTGAATATGTGAGAACTTCCCATTGACTAACTGTAATTTTTTAAGCTGCATAAACTGAAACTGATTTTATTATTTTTAATTAATAAAAATTAAGTATTTCTGACCGTCATAATCACTGAAATTTGATTCAGTGTTCCAGGAACAGGCGAAGATATGATACCTTGACATAGCAGCAGGAGTTGCCTAGATAAAATATTAAAAGCTTGTCACTAATCTTAATAAATGTATACTTTTAATTAAGATTTGTATATAAGGCATGGAATCCTCAAAGGATTTCTTTAAAACTTGCTACCAAATATTTTTTTCTTTGACAACAGAGGAAGGTAATAAATATAAACAGGTAACCATACAAACAGCAATATATTAAATTTACCATTTACTAATTTACTATTTAACTAATTTGGCCTACCTCTTTTTCTTGACCCTACCAAGTTTTGGAATACTTCCATAAGCATTAAAATCAATGCCCCTTGGCCTTCCAAATTAATAATCACCTTGATAGCATTCCAATGATAACATTCCAACCCTCAAAGTTTTATCCCTAAGGGAAAAAATCCTAACCCCTTTTAGTGGAATTAATTTTTTTAACAAGTTAAACAGCTTCTAATAATGAAAACTAACATTCTGAGAGGTAGAAAATAAGCAAAAATAAAAAAGAACTTTGCTCCAATGAATTATTATTCTGCTATGTTCAACCATATTCAGCCCCTATAACAGATAACACAGAAAAAGGAAAGGAAATAAAATATTGCCACTAAAATATACTTTCCAGTGTCTTTACTACAATTGGTTATTTAAAATAGAGGTCCCCAACCCCCGGGCCATGGATTGGTACCAGGCCGCACAAACAAGCCAAGCCCCATCCGCAGGATGCAGGCAGTACACAAAACCATGCCCCCTCTGGTCCGTGGAAAAATCTCTCTCCATGTAACTAGTCCCTGGTGCCCAAAAGGCTGGGGACCTCTGATTTAAAAGTCTACATATCCCACCAAAATGATTTCTAATATAATGACCTATCAGCCATCCCCCAAATATAAAAATCCTGACATAGGACTGTATGTAAATTCTACTATTCCAATTGTAAAGGAAATTATACCAGCAAACAGAATAGCAAAAATTGATCTGCCAGTTATTCTATTAAAAGTAGAATTTGAATAACATTTGCTTAAATTGAAACTGAAACTGAATTTGGAGATTCCTCTTCGCATGAGACATTTACATTATTATAAAAAAAGTCTAGATTTTTTAAAATAAAAGCTTTATTTTTTTCTGGGGGATTTTTAATATCTGAGTTCAATCATAAAGGTAGAAAATCTTTTTCAGTAAAATGCCTAACTTGACTCTACTGGCTTGTCTCTCACACACATATCCCAAACAAAAGGAAAACAATTTTTAAATATATATTAATTAAAAAAGTACACACCAATAGTATGGTACTATGTATTGTATAAAGAAATATCCAATAATTACAAAAATCAAATACATGTAAAATAAATTCATTTTCGGAGAGTCTAGAGGCTGCACAAGAGTACACCCTATTCTCAAGTGGCCTCCACAGCATCGCTCCCGTGAGAGAAAGGGGCATGCTCTCGAGAACAGTTGTTTTCAGGTGTTGACGAATGCTGGTGTGTCACCCAAATGCTGTGGCATGTCACCTTTGACACATGAGTCATAGTTTCGCCATCACTAATCTGCCATCTGAAAGACGCTTACCAGATTTCAGGAAGAAGGGTGTGATTAAGTCAGATTCTGTGCTGATAAGGCTTTCAATCAAATTTTGGAAAGATAAGCAATGTGTCATCCTGTATTTTACAACAACATTTTTTAACTGAATCTATTATGAATTGGTAATTTTACTTGCACATCTTCCATTGTTCTGTTCTAATTTCAGTTGCTCCCAGTTGAGAACTCAATGTAACTTTCACAGCATAAAGCTTCTGCAGATCAGGCAGACTGCTGAAAAACAGTGACCGACGTCTATCATCATTCATTTTGTTTGGCTAACCATAAGAAAACAATCCAACCTGTAACATAAGAAAAGTGATTATCAAAAAGATTGTCAAGGTTCTGGCTAAGTATTCCAATGAAGTAAATACACCAAAGCCATTTAGATCTCTAATGCAAAACTTTATTGGATACAGCATACCAGCACTATTGAGTTGAAAACCAGCTCTGGCAATATGGTGGGAAAAAGATAATTAAAAGAGTAAAACTTTCCCTCCCCACTCTGACACTTTAGGTCACATTGTCCAATTAATCCTCGGGCAGTTGTTATGAGAAGAACCTTTCTGTTCACAACATCTGTCCAGTGACCTTGGTTCCCATCTGGATAGAATCCACCTGTGTATTCCAAACCTTTCCCTCCCCCCAACCATAGGCAAGCTAGAAACAGCATGGAAGTTCTAATGCAAGCAATCTTCATAGCTTAACAAAGATGTAAAGATATGATACAATTCAAGCTATTAGAAAGTGATTTTTTAAAATGTCATTCTCTTTTATAGTGAATTTGGATGGTTGAGTGTAGTACTTATCAATATGAAACATGGTAATTAAGCATAAGGAGATGTCCATATATGTGGAGCATGCATGTAATTCTATTAAAAAACTTCCCTCTTTAAACTCAGGTTATTTCAGATGAAATGAAAGAAAAATATCCCAAATGCTACTTTTATTTCCTTCTCTCCAGAATGATGCATTGACATATAATACAGAAATGTAACCCCAATTTACTTTTTCCTTCACTTCTCTTACTTCCATAATAAAACTACACAAGATATTTTTACAAATTGGCTGAGGTCTTGTAAGGATATTCTTACAGAGAATGTAAATTAATTATGGCATTTGGATGCATTCTGACTTGAATGTCACCACGAAATATAATTATGAAGAATACTTTGTCACTGCGATTTTAATTGAGAATTATAAATTTAATGAAAGTAAATGTAAATGTTTTCTCTTCAATTAATCAAACCAAATCAAAATTAGACCATTCCTGTAATCTTATTCTATGCCTAAATTGGATCATTTTAATAAGTTCCATTAGTACTTCTGTATATGACATTTTGAAATTCTTTGCAAATGGCTCTATTTTAACTATTCAGAAGCAAGTCCAACTCATAAAGCTAGTACTAATGGTAACCCATCGACTTGATTGTGGGAAGTCAGCAGGAAGTTGCCTTGTTAATGACCATGGGATGTGGTTAACGATGGCAATTGGGCCTGCGGGGATTGCTGTTGCTAAGTGATGCCATCCTACTTTATGACCGTGACATTTAGTGATGGAAATTCCAATCCCAATTCCTGTCATAAATCGAGGTCTACCTGTACTGTGTAGGTATAAGTATTCACTTAACAATCACAATTGGTACCAGCAACTCCATCACATGTAACATGGTTGTTAAGTGAGACATTATGTGATTGTACTGATTTTATGACATCAGTTCTGCTGTGGTTATTAAGCATCACATGACTGCAACTTGTAGTTTTACTGCTGGCTTCTCCACTGACTCTGCTTGTTGAAAGCCAGTTGTGAACATGCAAACTGCAAACGGTTTTAAATGCCCGCAGGTTCTAGCAACAGAAAGACTGGTTTTTCAATCACAAAAATGCATTAGAGCCTTTTAGGAAACAAAAGTATTCAGGGTGTAACTGATTAAAATTCTATAATTTCAGGCAGCACTGCAATTGGCTGGAAAGTAATAATTATTTAATTAAGGTCACAAAGCTGAGTTTGTTAACTTGCCCAGTGCGGCATGTGCGGCACCCATGACAAAGGATGATCAGGAAGAGATAGCAAGTTAGATATCTGAAAAGCCGGACAACATTTGATTATGCTATGCCTGCTGGATGGAGGACATAAAGACAAATTGTTTGAAGTCTGGTAACCTTATTGGAAATGAACTAGAATATAAGACCAAGTAATCAATAAAAAAATAAATAACTTCTGTTGTCAATGTTACTATATTTATGACTAACATTTTCAGTCATAACTTTTATCTGCTGATCTCACAGCAGAGATTTTAAAAACTGAAGCAAAGTTTATTTGACTCTCTTAATTATTTCATCTAAAAAGCTAAAATGGTAAAATATTTAGAATGTCAGAAATAATCTTTTTTCTCGGAGGTGTGAGAGAAAAATATGAAAAGCACTCATTCTTTTTCTTTTTCCAAACAATGATTATTACAAAATATGGTAACCTTGAACTGCTACTTTAGAGTTTTAACTTTTTTTGTCTTCAGGCCCAAACTCAACTGCCTTGGAAAACCAGAACAGGAATTAAATCACATAACTTTTGTTTCTCTTCCTACAAGATAAGCTGAGAGTATTTTGTTCTTCAAAATATATTTGTTGACCAGAGGAAAACTAAGTAATTAATATCTCTTTTATATGGCTAAGTCAGGTATAATAGGAGCAAAACCCTCCTTCCGCTTTACATCATCAATCTTCTCACACTCAGTTTTTAATGCTGAAAAAAAGCAAATGATGTACTTTTGGGACTTGCCACATAAATAAGTATTTTCCACTAAGTAAGACATCAACTGCCTAAGTAACCTAGTTTGACTAGAAGGGCATGTTTTGCATGGAGTTTGTGAAATCCATTTAAAGACTGTATTAAGTTGAAGAATGAGTCACAACTGTCTGAAAGCCATGTTATGATAGGAAAACTGCCACTGAAGCACAATCTCAATTAGGAATCGGAGTATGCTATTACTTGTATCTCCAGCTCCAGAAGCGTTGGGAAAAATATGTAGCCAAGAAACAGGTTGTCTTAAAAAAAAAACGCGGGAAAATGTCGTGAGGAAACAGGCTATGCCTGGGATGGCACACAACGGAGGTGGGCAATAAAGACAGGAGGAGTGAAAGACAAAGGCGCAGAGAAGAAGCAAACCTCGCGGGGAACGTCGCCGATCTGACTTACTGACCAAAAAAAAGGGGGAGGGGTTTCTCTCAGTTACAAATCTTAACTTTCCCTCCCCTTTCTGTGCATTCCGTCTTTTAGTTTCCCTGCACTTTACGTTTTTCTGTTATGCCCTGAGGCGCTCAATAGAGAGGAAAAATACGCACGGATAGGAATGGTGATTTAGCAAAAGCGAGAATGGTCACTGAACCCAAAGTATCTATGGTGCAATTCAATGCCACGGCGAGATGGGTAAGAGGTCAGAGCTAGCTTGTAACGCAGCCCCGGATTCGGCTGAGTTGCCTGTCCAAAGTTCACCAGCACGTGATAACCTTCAGTCTTGGGAGAGCCTCGAGGCACGCCGGAGCTGGGGTCAGAAAGCGGGATTACGCAACTTCTTTCCTTCTGATTTGTAGAGGGGAAAATGTCCCAGCGTTTTAAAAAGATCTTAATTCTGATTCAGGCATAGATTACATACTACTTTCGAACTTCTGGACAGGCGGCTTTAGTGCCACGAGGAAATATAAGGCGCTTCCCTAAGACTAATGAAGATATTGTCCAATTATAGAAGATTGGGTTTATTTTTTTGTAAGAAATCAGAGCAGCTATTTTTGATTTTCACATGTTTTCTTTGACAGTCCACTAATTTTTCCTCTTGATCATAGTGACTGAATTATGGGGATTTCAGAAAATCTCTACCACATACAAAAAGTGGGATACTTCTAGTAAATTCAAAATTGTAGGTGTGTGTTCTCTATAATTCAAATACAGGGCTAAACAATGTTAGGTATTTTGCAAATACATAACTACAGGTTGAGCGGGCTCTTTCAACTGCTAACTGTGGTAAAATGTCACAAATTTGTCCCCAAAGTTTGAAACTAAACTTTCTACTGCCCCCCAATGAAGTTACACTGAACTTATACTTCAGGTTTTATAAATGGGGTTTCTCATCCCATTTCATTCACTTGGCTAGCCCATCTAAAAAGTGGGATTGGTACTAGAAACATTCAAAATACCTAGTGAATCCAGATTTTGCATCTTTTTGTCTTCCGTTTTTTCTTGTGCCAGAATGTTTTGTCTGATTTATTATTCTTGAAAACCAAGTCTGTTATCTGAGAATTTGCTGCTTTAAAAAGTTGTATTTGAGAAGATATTAAGGCCCAAGTCATTATTGGTCTTTGTGCTATGATACACGGCGTTTCAAAATCGTTATTTACATTGCAGTAAAGTATCAGGAAAGTGCAGGTGAATAATTGGTTTAAAGAAATTAAAGATTATCCATAGAGACTCTAACATGGTGAGATATTTGTCACATAAATGTGTTGGAAAGTATCATGTAAGCTGTCCAGAGTCACTTGTTAATGAGATGGGGTCTGGTGTTCAACGTAGACACCAAAGTTTCAATGATGTATGAGAAAGGCTCTACAAGTTTAGAGTAAAACCACAAATTTACATCAGCTTTGAACAGGCTAAATTAAACCAACTAGAAATAATATAAAGAATCAAACACCTCAGTAAAAATTACTTTATTGGCGATAATCTTTTGTCGACAATGCTACTTCTTTGAATGTCCTTTAATGCACCATAAATACCCATTGAACAGTTTTCCATCTGAATTATATCAAACCTGCAAAACATTTTGCAACAATAGAAATAAATAATGCCATTCGATAACAAATAAACCGACAGTTGAAGCATTTTATCCGAGGGTACAATTTATAATTCGCATGACCACGTTCCGTTTTCTGTTATGTCGGTCTATTCTGTTCTTTTCACGGTTTTATCTCTATGTTTACTTTCGTTGATTTCTCCCCCGCCGCTCCCTTTCGACCGTAAGAAAGCAGAGTTTCTTGGAATCCTGGAGCATTGATTCAGAAAACCAACCCAGCAGCAGTCGGTCAACCAATCAGAAGCCAACAAAGGCGATATCCCCCCCCCCGTTTCTTTCTCCCTCCTCTCAACGCAGAGGGTGGCGCATGCAGTTTAAGGTTTGTTCACGTAAAGACTATCTGCGCTTGCGTGAGGTGAGAGGCTCATAGGTCACTGCGCAGTTCAGTTCCGCCGGTCTGCTTGCTGCTGCTCCTCCTGGACTTCGCGTGGAAGTCTGAATCTGCATTGCAAAAGGCGAAAAGGGGACCGAACGAAGCGGCGATGACGAAGTCCAGCGGCGACAAATCCGAGAAAGAACCGTGGCGGGGTTGCTATTACAAGTTCGAGGAAATCCAGAAGCATAATCATAGCCAGAGTACTTGGATTATTATAAACCGTCGTATATACGATGTCACAAAGTTTTTAGAAGAAGTGAGTATATAGAGCTGGAAAATTAGGAGAGGGAGAATTGTGTCCGCTATTATGTGTTGATAAGTTGCAGGAAATAATTAACATTGGAACCGTTTAGGTTTGGGAAGTTTTCAGGATCCTGCATGCTTATTGAAAAGTGTTCGCTAAGAGTTGGCGTGCTTTGCCTGTGCCAAGGTTCAAACTGATACAACCTTTAACTTCAGTTGGAAAGTTAGGAAACTATTACATCAGTCTAGTAGTGGCTGCTTTAAGTACATCCAGCTGCTTGCGTTGTAAAAAAAAATACGGCATTTTATAAACAATAGATTATATTGTTTATTTGAAATTAACACTGAGACATATTTGTGAAATAAAAGTGATAATTGCAGAAAGAGCCAGTTTGATATAATTTAGAAAAACAAGTTTGCTGAGGTTCTAGGATTGCTATGATGAAATGGAATCCTTTGTTTGCTTCTGTTAAGTAATGCACCTTTCCCCTACCAGATATTCATGGATAAAATGGTTGACTAATGTCTTTCTTGTAATGAAGAAAGATTAAGGACAAGTCATCATTTTTCAGTAACATTTGCATAGACAAACATATTTCTAATGATTAGAGCAAAGAGATACTGGAAGATGGAGATTGGTAAAATGATAATTGTGATTATGAATCTAAAATGCGTAAGAAGACTCAGGCTGGACAAACATACCATTTATGTTCAAGAGTAGATATAGCTCTCAAGCTATTTCATTCTGCTGAAATGTATTTGTCTATATGTGAATATCTGCAGGTATAATCTGTAAATATTTTGTTTATACTACCTAGCTAGCTGTAAATTACAAGGTTAAGCTATATATGTTGAGTAAGTACATCAAATGAATATGGATCATGCCTCTTTTTACCTGGTATGAACGATTGTATTGCTTAGATCTTGTTTGTATATCCTTTTATCTCTCATATTGCAATACTAATAGGGAGCATTTAACATATGTAAAGATTAATAAGCCAGTGGCATTATACATGTTGCTTACCTAATACTTAATATATAGAAATCTACACAATTGCTAACATATTTCAATCTAATCTTGGCCAAATAGGTTTCACAGTAGAGAAAAGATTATCTTGAAACTTAATCTCATTTGCTTTTATGTTGGACTGGGTATATAACATAGGTCATAGGACATCAAATTTTTAATTTTTGTTGACAAGGTTTCTTAAAGTTTTAGAACTTTTCAGTAGTTAAGTGTATTATATCTATGAAATATATTTCTAAAAATGTATTGAATTCTCTGGAAATGTGAAACAATAGTTTTGATGCAAAAGCAGAAATAATTATTCCTAAAATAAATACAAATAATTTCCCAAAGACAAGAATAATATGCTTCCAGGTTTAGGTTATCCAATAAAGAGAGATACAAAGTAAGCCTATATTTTCATTCATATAAATTGAAAGATATTCTCAATTCTCTTCTGGGCTGGGGAATGATAATATTAATAAGTATTGTGACAAGATTAGTTTATGTTGCATACTTAATGGTGCCATTTCTCAGGGACTCTGTTCTGGGTTGGCGGAGTTAAACTGAAATTCTGTTTAGTTTATCTGGACTGGAGAAAGAAGCATGGTTATGGTAGTTGTTATGGTGTTTGGGGGGCCAGGCCAAATAAAATAGAACATAGAAATGAATGCTGAGATGGATCAGTTTAATGGCAATGTTAAGAAAGAATGGAATAATCTTGTTTCAAAGACTGCAGCTTTGGCATCATGTATTGTAAATCCACAGGTGCATATATCAGTACGTATGGAATAATAGCCAACTTATTACAGGTAGTCCTGAGCTGAAAATATATGTTGCTTAGTTTTGTTAAGTGAGTGTTGCCCCATTTTGCGACCTTTCCACAGTTAAGTGAACCATTGCAGCTGTTAAGTTAGTAACACGATTATTAAGTCAATCTGGCTCCCCCATTGACTTTGCTTGTCAGAAGTCACTGCAACTGTCCAAGATATGAACATGTTGCCAAGCATCTGAATTTTCATCATGTGTGCATGGGAATGCTGCAACAGTTGTAAGTGTGAAAATGGTCATAAGTCACATTTTTCAGTGCTGTTATAACTTTGAAAAGTCACTAAATGAACTGTTGTAAGTTGAAGACTACCTGTATTCCAGAACTATGTTGTGGGTAATACTAATATACTGAAAATCTTCCACACAAATCTAGGTACAATAGAATTTTCAGGGAACAGCATCTTTGGAAACTGTTGGCATTTCTCTTGTGCATATTTTAGATGATACAGTCTATGTATAACTCAGTCCATTGGATTTTTTTTTTGTTAGATGGTTGCTAAAGAGGAATATTTACCTTTGAAATCTCTGTTATTCCATATAAGATATGTAGGGAAAAGGTTGGGACAAACTGGTGAATTTGAGGAAAAGGTATACAGGATACCATCTTGCTGGGTTTTAGATCCTGTCATATAATATAACAGTACATTTGGCCTTTCAAAAATGTCATAATCATGGACGATAAACATGTAATTTAATTTTAATGCACAGTAACTCCAAGTAAAATCTATGTTAAATGCATTTAAATAGGTTTAATCCTCAATATGTTTAGTCATTTGCTCTTTTATCATATTAAAATTCACAGTGTTATAGTAATTTTGAAGAACTTTCAAGGTTGCATTCTCCTAGAGTACCTTTGGCTTATACTGTGTGTGTATGTATGTGTATATGTGTGTATATATATATGTATGTATGTATGTATGTCAATGGGTGTTGCCGATGCAAGGTGTGACAAGACGGTTTCACAAGCCCCACCCCCCCACATATCCTTCTGTCCCATTGACTCTAAAGATCCGTACCATACTCATGCAAGAACAAGAAACATCGGAGGGAGGAGGGGAGTGGAAGAGGAGCGTTGTGACGTCCGAGGAGACCAGAATCCCACCCCCCCCGCACCGATGGTATCGATGGTAGCGTGTGGAGGAAGGATGCAGAAGACGGCAGTAGAAGGGGGGGAGGGACATGATGACTGTGCATGGCCATACTTACGAGGCTTATTATGCGGATAAACAGCTTACCGAATCACCCCAATTCACCGCTGTAACCCATGTAGCCCAGAATGTCACACAAGACCACCTTAGTAACAACTAGGCACGAGGGGGAGGCATTGGAGAAAAAAGGGAAAGCACTCGTAGAGAGAACAGCTGCATGGATGTGGATTGGGGGAAAAAGAAGAAGGGAAATGCAAACCACCACGCAAACCTGAGGGGGAAAGTGGATCAAGGGATGAGAACAACCAGGGAGATAGGGAGGTTGTCCCACCTATCCTGGAATCCAAGAAAAAGAAGACAAGTGATGACATACATGTAGATAAGGGGTGCAGGAAGAAACGGATCACCGGAGTGCAATCTACCCAATTAGGTCCGATAAAAAGATCAAGGAGCCAGGTGCAGACCTTAGCTTGCTTATAAGAGACTCTCTCACTTTCTAGCGTTTTAAGCCCTGATGATGCCGGCAGGTGACGGCGAAAGCTTGGCATTTTTTAATTAAACTTTTATAGTTTTAACTACCCTGCTGCTCATTTTATTTTAAACATGAATATACCCAGGGTTCATATTTTTAATGTTATTACTCATGCAGACCACAGCTGCATCATTAGCCACTTTAAACCCCTCCAATCCATACATGAAGCAAACTGACACCCTCCATGAAGAAGAAGCACGACCACGAACGCGAAGCCAAAAAATAACAAGGCAGCCCAAAATCTCAAACCCCTCTGCAACTCAGACTAACCTGAGCACAACCAAACGAACACTCCCCCAGCCAATCAGAGCACAGCCAGGCCCCTAACCATTCAGAACACACCTCCACCCAATCAGAACACAGCCAAGCTCCCACCCAATCAGTTCATACCCCCACTGGCAGTTAAAAGGAAGAAACAGCTAAGACCACACATTGCTGCTAAAAGCACGAAGCTGAAAACACCAGCCTGAAGATGACGAATGGGACTTCGTCGAAACGTCGCCAAGACACTTCCAATTTTACGCGGGAGAAAACCCGAACAACCAAAGACCTACATACAAATACCCGCGAAAACCTCAGAAAACACATACATATACATATATATATATACATATATACATACATACATATATATATATATACATACATACATACATACATACATACATACATATACACAGGTCTCAAGAAAACCCTTTTCTGCATTTAAATCCAGGATTTCTGTTCTTGGTTATGAGTGTTGTCGTCTCCTTCAGATTATATTTCAAAACATATTAACCCGAAAAGCAATATGAAATCCCTTACTGGATGCTATGATTGGGTTAAAGGCATACTTTAATCAACTGTTTATTTGAAAACTTATTGCCATGAATCACTGTGAAGTTAGCAGTATATAAATGCTATAAAGAAATCAACAGTTAATAATACTAATCTACATTATTCCTTGATTTTTATTTAATATATTATCTGAGCTCAGCTCAAAGAAACTTTGCAGTTTCTTTAATAACTTAAACAATTCATTAGGACTATGTACATTTTGCAACTGAGAAAATGGTTCAAATCTGGGATGAGTAGAGCATGTCTTTGCAGTTTATTAAAGCCAGTCAAGTTTTTTTCAGGCTTTTCCAGAACCTGAGAGAAAGATACTGGTGCTTTAAGGCAGAGATCCCCAACCTTTTGGGCACCAGGGACCAGTTCCGTGGAGAGAGGTTTTTCCGTGGACCAGAGGGTGCATAGTTTTGTGTGCTGCCTACATGCTGCGGATGGGGCTTTGCTTGTTTGTGCAGACTGGTTGCTGGCATGCCACAGCCCGGTACTGGTCCACGGACCAGGGGTTGGGGAACCCCTGCTTTAAGAGATCCACTCTTCAAGATTAATACAATTCTTCAAAGTAATAGCTTTTTTCCTGGGCTGATGTAGAAGTGTAAAAGTCCAGGATTTTTCAAATAAAAGATTCTGCTCCAGCATGAGAGTAAAAGCATTTCTTTTAAATCATTTCTAAAGAATGTACCACATTGCAAACCATGTGTTGAGGCTTGAATGCACAAGTGTTTTTTTTTAGGCCAAAGGTTGCATTTTGTTCTTGAGTTAGTGGCTATATTCCAAAGTGAGGGTGGCCTGAGAAAATGTAATCTTTAATTCAGTAAAATTGATTTGTTTATTTCCCATATACTTGTTTTCCCCCATTCTGTCATGTTAAAAACTACAACTTAGTTTCTAAATCTTTTTGAACTGACTTTGGAGTTTGCATTTGGGTGGGGGATGGGGGACAGCTGCCAAAATGCAATCTTTGAATCTCGTGTCAGCTTTTTTTTTTTTTCTGAACAAAATGTTAAACTTGGCTTTCTAATCTTCCAAGGCTGGAGAAACTTCCAAGTTCCTTCCAAGGCTGGGAAGTTCTGGCAGTTCTCCTACATATATTGATAGTACCATAGAAAATTTTGGGCTGGGTCAGATAGGGCCAGATAGATTCCAGGTTTCTTACTGCTTTTAACTTCTCATCACTACCAATCATTATACAACTCTCTAGTGTAGTACGCGATGAATGGATAGCTCAAGTGTGTATTAATTTTGAAAATGTAATTTATCTTATGAAGAAAAATATTTTCTAAGTATATGGGGTGAGTGATTGTAGAAAATATTTTGAGTAAAGAAAATAATTGTATTTTTAATCTATGTGAAAATTTACATATATGGCTGTTTTTAATGACTTTTTCCCCATGGAACATACAGTTATGCCATAGATCTTACTAGATGTCTATTTTGCCTTATTGGGATCAATACATTGGGAGTACAATTTGGGAAAGCTGGTATATAGTTCATTCTAAAGGAGGACAAAATTCTAGTGTACACTTAATTATTTCCACTTGGTTTCTTAAATTTAGCCCCAGCAATTTCCATCTAAAGCCTATTGAATGCCTAAGTTAATCCTACTAACTTTTGATATTTCTGCACATTCAGTATAACAGCATAGTACATGTTTACTATTTACTTGTAGAGCAAAATATTACATAATTGTATTAATTTTAGATCCATTAACAAGTGGTTTTTTTCTAAAAAAAAATCTCTGTATAAGAGGGATTTGAATATGGAGCAAATATGTCCTTAGTTTGTTTTCTCAGTCTTTTAGTAAAATAAAAGCCTGTGTTTATTAATGTAGTAGCTGCTACTAAACTATTGAGTGTTTGACATTCATGATTATTGGTTCTGAAATGTTTAAGTAAACTTACGTAAACTAACTTGTTTTCTGGATTCAGTTGGTTAAGAGTAAGCCTTAAAGCACTGAGTTGTTTTTTATCCTTAACTCTGTTGCTTCATTCTCTTGGGTGTTTCATTATCAGAACTGATTCAAGGGCAGAATGTGCCTCTCAATTTGCATGTCAGTCTTGTGTAATTTCTTTGGATGCCCTCCCTTAACCTTTTTTGAATGGAGTGACCAGACATAATCTTTAATCTGTACATTTGCTTAGTCATTGTGTGTAAGCATTTTATGCTTTCTAAACCTGAATATTTTGTTTAGGAAAAAAATAACCTTTTGAAAATTCACATATAGTGATTACTGTTAGCAACACAAATATTTTTTCAGATTTTATAGAATATTTTATTTTGTCGAATTGATGAAGCTGCCCGTCTCACCAAAAGGGACTCTGGGCAGCATACAACAAAACTAAATCAGTAAATAAATGCATAAAACTAGTGATTAATTATAAAAAGCATCCAAAAACTATAAGAACAGAATAAAAACAAGGTATCTTATTATGGATTTGAGGTACTGTTAATTCTTTGACCAGAACTGTTTGAAGCTACCTATTTATGTTAAGAGATTTTCTATACTTGAAAATTGGATTAGAGCAATATTCAGAATGGAATAGTTTTCCAGTAGGCAAAGATTGCGCGTAATATTTGGAGAGGTGTTTAGAGAGGGCAGTGCAGGTGGGATTTCATGAGAGACAAGAGGTTTTTAACTATGATACGTGTCCATACAAAGGTGTTATGCTACAGTTTGTTTTTCACATTTATGAACCACCCATCTCCCTCAAAGAGTTCTCATCTGTATCCCACCTTCGATTACCCAACCCTAGATTGACATTGATGAGATCTCACATGGCTTTGCTTATGACAGCTATCCTTCTGATATATCATAGTATGTCCTCCTGCATTTTCCATCATTATGGCCATTGTTCATACAGCCTCAGATTCATTAGAGCAGAAGTCTGTAATTCAAGTAAACCATATATTCTAGGAGTTGTCCTCTACATGCCTCTTATGATCTGGAAAAAACAACGTAACAGTAGACATCACTAGGCAGGGACAGGCCCATAAGAAACCTGGCCCCAGACCATGAAGGGCTTAAATTGCAGCCTGGAGCATACATATGCAGAGATGCAGAGCAGAGGTGCCACCTAAAACTGTTGCCCCATTGCATTCTGCATCAGCTGAAGCTTCCAAATATTCTTCAAGGGCAGCCCCACGTAGAGCACATCGTAGTAATCCAGTTGGGAAGTGACTTAAGGCACGAGTGACTGTGATCAGAGCACAGTGCAAAGCTGTGCAAAGACTTTAAGCAGGAGCCATGAGTCCAGGAAGACTTCCAGATAATTCACAGGATCTATCTGGGACAGCGCAACTCCACCTATTACAAGAGAGGGAAGATCCTCAAAAGCAGGGGATCCTGAAATCCAGTCACACTGGTGCACAAGGGGATTCTTGCTCCATCCAGGGTCTCTGTGTACCAACAAGGGCCTATATTTGTGTCCTTCTTTTGTAAAAGATGCCTGTTACGGGAAAAAATACCTAGGATGCTTGACTGCAGAAGAACCCTTCTAGCCAGGGTTTTCTTTTGTGCACCAATCTTCTTTTGCAGAAGGCCTGGGATGGAGCCCAAACAGAGATCCTGTCTGGTGAACAAACAGAAGCTTGGGTGAGACACAAGAGAAATCCCTGCTGCATTGGCACAAGAAGCCTCTAGCTCAGCGGTTCTCAACCTGTGGGTCATGACCCCATTTGGGGTCGATCGACCATTTCACGGGGGTCGCCAAACAACGCGATCTGCCATTTTGTTTGTCAGCCGGCGCAGGGGCCGGCACCGCGCATGCACGCTGCGCAGGGGTGGCGCATGGGGTGGCGCTGCGCATGCGCACTGCGCAGGGGGCGACGCTGCGCATGCACGCCGCGCGGGGTGGCAACACGCATGCGTGCTGCGTGCGGGGTGGCGACACGCATGCGCGCTGCGGGGGGGCGCCGCCACACATGTGCGCCACCTGCTTATGTCCGGGGTCGCCGTATAAAAAGGTTGAGAACCACTGCTCTAGCTGTAAGGGGCAAGGCTGGACAGTGGAGGCAGCTGGTGGCAGGGGGGGTAGGCACAGCCAAAAGGGCAGAGATGGGAAAGAGATAGGCAGGTGAGTGGAGTTCAAAAGGAAACAGTCTCTTACCTTACTCAGGCTCTGAGCTGGGAGGGACCAAGCTGGGAATGACTTGGATCAGGGTGGGCTTAACAACCAGTGGAATTTGATTAATGACAGCAGTGAGGGCTGCTGGGATTTTGGTCAGTTAGTGATGTGGTTACGTGTCATTGTCCTTTATAACTGAATTGTTTAGTGAAAGTCCAATCTGAATTATTGTTAACTGAGGACTATCTATAGGTGAAAATCCATGCTATGCAATTGGCTGGTTTTTCCATAAGTAAATGGAATTTTGTTCCAAGAGGCTTCTGTAATGCTAGCATAGAAATACAACAAGCAAGCTAGCTGGTGAAATTAGACCATGCTATGGAATGTAGAGATTGTGTGTGTATTGGTTATAATTTTGAGCTTTCTTTCGTGCATTGGCTTAATTTCCTATTCTTCACACAGTTTAATATCCTTTTTTTGTCTTGTTCTTTTTGACTTTGCAGCTGGATTACTGTTGGTTGTTGATACTTCTGCTCTAAGAAACTAATTCTTAACTCTTACGGTACATAGAGCAACAACTCAAATATATTTGTCTTTATATAAAATAGGAACATAATTCCTACATTGAGCTAATGGCTGTCCTTTTATACTGCAGATATACATTTGCTGAGCCAAGACAGTTTTTTTTTCTGTTGAGCTGTTTATGAAAATGTAATTTTGATTTCCTCCCAGGAATATTGTTTTTAGCAAATGCATTTTTGATGAATGCTGGAAACAGACAGTAGATCATACTTTGAGAATTCATTATGTTAGTTTTAACATTTATTCTCTACATGGCTTTTTATTGAGATACTTGCAGGATGATCTTCAACTACAGTTAGGAGCTGTCTAAGTAATATATGCTAGGAAAATCTGTTAATGAGAAAATACTAATTTACTTCTCTCTGAAGTAAAGGGGACAGAAGCACACAGAAACTACTTTTCTGTTGCTTTGCCTCTGTTCTAGAATAACTTCACCCAGCTTCGACATTGCTAATTTTCTGCAAGTTATTAAAAACAGAATGATTCAATAAAGCTCTAGGAATATGAAGTATTGTGATTGATTTTATTTGCTTTGTAATTGCTTATGTATTAACTGCAGTCTGCTTATCTTCATTTTATCTGTGTATTATGGAGGTTTTATTATGTTGCCTTATCTTGCCTATTATTTTTATTTATTGGACTGCGGAAATTTTATTGTTGTTTTTTTAACGGATGAATTGTAAACCACCAAAATCCTCCTTAATTGCAGTGGACACAATTGAATAAATAAATCTGGAGACTAAATAATGGCTTGGTTAAACGGACATTTAACTTTAATTATAGGAGTTATAATACAATGGTATTAGAACTATGAAAAAATGAACAGGGAAAAATGAACTTTACTTTCAGATTGTGCATTAAAAAATATCAGAATGATAAATTATGCTCAAAATAGAGGAGTTTGTGTAGTGCAAGTTACCGCCATGCTAATCGATTCTAAAGCATATACATTGAAGTCTCCATGCTTTCTTCTATTTAACAGCACCCTGGTGGTGAAGAAGTCCTAAGGGAACAAGCAGGCGGAGATGCAACAGAAAGTTTTGAAGATGTTGGACATTCTACAGATGCCAGGACATTGTCAGAAACGTTTATTATAGGGGAGCTTCATCCAGTAAGTACAAAAAGCATGGATGTGAATATTCTTATACAGGTAGTCCTCGACTTACAACAGTTCATTCAAATTTACAGCGGCACTGAAAAAAGCGACATGACCATTTTTCGTATTTACGACTGTTGCATCATCTCCATGATCACGTGATCAAAATTCAGAGGCTTGGCAACTGACTCGTAGGTATGATAGTTGCAGTGCCCCCTGGGATCAGGTGATCCCCTTTTGCAACCTTCTGACAAACAGCATCAACCAGGAGGCCAGATTCACTTAACAAAACCATGTTATTAACTTAACAATTGCAGGGATTCATTTAACAACTATGGCAAGAAAGATTGTAAATTCACTTAAGAACTGTATCGCTTAGCGACAGTAATTTTAGGCTCAATTATTGTCGTAAGTCGAGTACTACCTATAGTTTTTATATTTTAATAAAAGCTATTAAGTTAGAATTGTTGAAAACATTCCTCTGTAACCTAGATTCATTCAGATATTTTTGTACTACCCAATCATTGTAGCCTCTTATCAGGAATTATAATAATTGTTCAAAGTATTTTTCAGGATGCAAAAACTGGCACGATTGTATAATGCATTTTATCTAAAGTGCAATAATTGAAGTATTATATACTGCTCAAAAAAATAAAGGGAACACAAACGTATAGGATCCTATATGTTTGCGTTCCCTTTATTTTTTTGAGCAGTATATTTTATAATATATGCCTATATTGTACTTTTATATTCAAAATAAACTATGAAATATTATAAATTCAAATAACAGAGCAACCTGACACAGGAAAGAAAAAAGGGATATTATTAGTGAGCAACGTCTTCCTATTGGTAATGCAATGTTAGGTTTATTAATCCCTTGGTTCAATACTGTGGTCTGTTAATTTATTTCAAAACTGCAGTTTCCCCTCCAATGAAAAATGTAGATAAAATTATTAATTAACAAATGTAAAACATGTACATTTTAATTTCTCATTCTAAATTCTTTGTAAATGGGCCCTCCTGCCGATTAATAGTTCTCTCTGAAAAAGTACAGCTTTGGTATATACACAGCCCTTGCCTGATTCTGTACAATAATTAATTTTAACAGCCTCTATTAAAATGATATCTCAGCACTTTACCTTCCAAAATAATATCTGTCCTGCTTCTTTTGCCATTACAAAGGCAGTAGAAAATATTGCAAAACCTGTATTTCACTATGATTTTGTACATGTTTATTCTTTTAATACCACCTTGTATATCATTTGGTCATTGCTTGATTCAAGCTGTGCTATATACTATGTTCAATGTGTGCTGTAAACACTTGTCTAAATTTTTAAAGGAAAGATAATGATTTATCTCTTGAAGAGTTAACCAAGTGATTCATGAATGGATTAGATAAGTATTTCTAACAAAATGTTTTGTATCTTTCAGGATGATTGGGAAAAAGTTGAAAAACCAACGGTAAGCATTTCTTTTTCAAATTTCAAATCTCATTTCATTATAACATTTTAAATAAATACTAAACATAACCATGGCTACATTTTCTTATAGGAATCCCAGGTTTTGGGGAGGTTGACAGAACTTTACTGTTTATATTATCTCCATCCCAGTCAAATATTTTCTAATGCGGTGTCTGTTTATTGTTTGATGGGTGGGTTGGGGCTAGAATGCACAAAGGTTTAAGCAGGAACATCCTATACATTAAGGAGGGCTGTTGACTATTCATTATACTGGAGGAATTATTTCCAAGAGTTAGGTGAAAATCAGTACTTGAACAGATACCCTTTAATAAATTCTATAGAATAGTTACTAGATTGTTAATCAATATGAGTGGCGTAACATTATCTCAGTGAGTCAGTCTTGTATTACCTGATGGTGTAGAATTAATTACAATTGGTCTATTACAGTGTTTCCCAAACTTGACCATTTTAAGGCATGTGGACTTCAACTCCCAGAATTCCACAGCCAGCGTTGCTGGCTGTGGAATTCTGGGAGTTGAAGTCCTCATGCCTTAAAATGGTCAAGTTTGGGAAACACTGGTCTATTAGGTAATAATTCCAGAGAACCTTGAGCAGAGCACCATCAAAGAGTATACTACAAATCATTTATTCGGAAGAATTATGGATAGAGCCTTAAACTTTATGAACCTAGAATATATTTTTATTCCTGGTAATCACTTGGACTGATCCCTTCAGTTTTCTTGCTGTGGTTTCTCAGAAATGGCTTGCCATTCATTGTCTGCTTAAGGATGAGAGAAGGTGACTGGTCCAAGGTCACCTAGCTGGCTTTGTGTTTAATTCACAGTCTCCTGGTTTCTGTACTTCTCTAAAAGTTGTAGAGGTAATATTGTCAAAGCTATTTCCCCTTACATTATACCAGGTATATTATTAGAATAGGTAGTGTGTTTCAGTAAAAGTTAGTCAGAGCCAGGTGCTCATTGGACTATGCCCTTTTGGAGTTAGCAATATTGAGCAAGGTGTAAAAAAATATTGTGCATATTAAGGTGTATTGTACTGAATCCTTGTTGCTCGGGTAAGGTAACAATAGAACCTATCTCAGACAAAGTGCTTGGGCACATGTCAGAAAAGTGAGCTCTGAATTGGCAAAAAATTTTGAGGGAAGATGTTGTTAAATCCAAGTAACCAAAAATAATAGTGATAAAGAGAATAACAGGATTTTATTGGGACCATTATCGTTAGATTTTAAATAATCGACAAAATACAAATTGTATAATCTGAATTAACAATTAATTATACCAATAGCCGATTATAATATAAATCTAAAGGATAAGGGGAAAACATCCTGAATATATATCATAGACCAACTTGCTTAAAATTCCTCTACCCAGTCTCTCTGATGAAAAATACTACTAATTCTCCTGTCAGCAAACTGCATACAGTATATCCTGTAAATAGATATTGGTTGATGTTGTATGATTTACTTGGCTAATGGATTTGTATGAAGATTCATAATTCCTTATGCCTTAATAAAACCAATAACATACGCATCAGTTGAAAATTTCAAACCAAAATATATTAATATTGAGCAAGCTCAAACTTTGAATTAATGTACACATTCCTCAATTTTCGGCAGTAAAGTGGTCATGACCAGTCAATACTGAATAAACTCCAAAATGTTCATATATACAAAAAAATATCTGTTTTATTATCTACATTTTATGAGCAAAAGCGGGTGGTTATTTTGATTGTTCCCTGTGAACGTTTAAACTTTGTAATAAAAGTTAGATAATTGATCTTTATTGGCAAACATTCCTTGCAGTGCCTCTTTCAGCTTTTTCCATTTTGAAGGACAATAGAATGCACAAATGTTAATCATTTAAGTGCTCTGCTTTCATATTGTAACCCAATAGTTTCATGTTTTTAGTAACCAAATTGGATGCATTGAGAATTGTGTGATCAATTTATAGGTGAAAATGTTTCAAGTGGAACTCCTAAAAACACCATGTAATTCATATATTTAATTTGTTTGTGTGGAGTTTGGATCTCATGTCATACACGATAGAATTCAGTGAATCAGAATAAACTAACAAGGGAGCACCAATATTCAATGATACCTCAGAATAGATAGAATAAGCTACAATAGTAAACCTGGGGTAATTTGAAGAAGCCCAGCAGAAAAACGATCTCCCAGTCATTGTATGAGCTATTTTTCTATTAAGATTGAAAAACTTAGAAACCATTTAAGGTCTGTAACTAAATGTCTTTGTCTTTCAGGGCCCTTATATTACCACTGTTAACTCTAATGCCAGGTACAGTTTTTATTTAATTTGCAGTTTGATAGTACTGTGTTCTAATATTTTTTTATAATCCAGCATGAGTTCTTTTAAGAATAGATTGGGATAATATTGGGTGGGCAGAATTGATTTTTCCTAACAGTTATTATAGCAGGAATTTGTCTTTAATAATTCCTGTGTAATAATTGATCTTAATTTCTTAATTATGAATGCTTTTATTATGTAAGCAAGTTAGTTCCCATAGCACGTGTTCATCTAGTATATCATATCATCTTCAGGTAAGATGTATCATCATATTCAAAAAGCTAGGAAGGATACTTAAAGCTAGCATGCTTTAAGTATCCTTTATGGCTGCAGTCCAGGGATGGATACTGATTATTCCTCCTGAAGTTTCACTAATCCTTTTGGAGTCTCCTATATATGTTGGGTATGTTTTGAGAGGTATACAGTTGTAGGATTCCAGAGGAATTTATTGGGCTTTTTTCTTCCTGAACAGCTCAGATGGTTAAACAGAAGACCATCTCTAACTCAGGCTGTATATAAGAATACTAACAAAACAGAACTTTTATTTTGCATTTCATATAGTTCAACTCAGGAAGTCTGCCTTCTCTTGTGACACACACAGGCAATCTTAATTATATTTACTCAATAATTGTTGTGTAAATACTTTTCTAAGCAGATTGTCTCTCTGCTTGCCTAAGCATGTGTTAACAAGGTAATTACTGTGTTCAGAAAATTGCTTTATTGAAAATACAGGTAGTCCTTGCTTAACTTCTGCAATTGGGCCCATAATTTGGGTTGTAAGTCACTGAAGTCATTAAGCAGGTCACTGTGTGACCTGTCTAGATATTATGACTCTTTTATGAGGGTTGTAAAGCGAGTCAACGTGGTCATTAACTGAACATGTGGTCATTAAGTTAATCCAGATAAGCAAACCCGGCATCCCCGATGGGTGTTTCTTTGCCATTTTCTGCTGGAAAACAGGAAAAAGAAAAGTTACAGATCATGGTCACATGATCATGGGATTCTGTAGTCATAAAGTGAGCTGGTTGCCAAGCACCTGAAATGCAGGAAGTTGTAACTTTGAAGGTCACAAGTAAGTTGTTTCGAGCTGTTGTAACTTAAAATGGTCATTAAGCAACCAGTTGTTAAATGAGGACAACCTGTAAATGAACTTATCTTTTGAAACATTTAGTAACTAGTGGGTATAGTATGAAAATAATGTTTTGTTTTGTTTTTTCCAGTTCATGGACCAACTGGGTGATTCCAGCAATAGCAGCTATCATTGTGGCTTTAATGTATCACTTCTACATGTCTGAGTAAACCCAGTATTAAGAAGTAATAATGGAACACTCTGTTTTGGGCAAGGAAATGAAATATATACCTAGGGGTGGCACATCAGGACAGCATCTTAAAACCAACTTTAAGGAAGTGCATTTCTCTTTTTATCAGAAATTCAGAATTAAATTGTTTTAATGGCGTCCTACATAATGTTGCCTTTTCTATTTTGTTTTCAAATAGTAATTTTTAAAAATTTCTTCATGTCTATCATTTAATCATATGCTGCTACAGTGCTGCTCTTAAAATTAAGTACACTCATATAGTCTCCAGTTTCTTAGTATTTAAAATTTGTCTGATTCTTTTTAATGAATTCTTTAGGCTTCTTTTACAAAAAAATAAGTAGATGGAAGTTTGTGTCTGTGAAAATGTTTCCATCTTTGCCATTGGCTAAATTTTGATATATTTACTTCATTGTATAGCTGTATCATTTTTAAAGAGTTTTCAGTATGAAAATGATAAACACTTAAAATAATTTCATTTTTGTTAATAAGGATATGGCTATGGATCCAAATATTTCATTGTGCAAAATAAAATACTAATTATCCTTAAATGATTTGAGATAGGGAGGATCCATAATAGGCACAAAATTTTCAGTGGCCTTCATTGTTTTATAAGATCTATTGAAGTTCCCAAGAAAAAAAGGAAAATAATAATAACAGATAGAGGCTAACATAGGGAACAATAATAGAGAGCAAATCTAGATTTAAATAACTTCATCTTAAAATGCTTATATGTTGTGCTGTATGGTTCTTGGCTGTATTATGGATCATTGATTTATTAAATTGTTGTACAGGTATAAAACAGCAGGATACTGTCCCTTCAAATATTTGTGCAAGAAATAAAACATTTTCTTGTGTCTGTAGACAAAGAAAAAAAAAGTATCAATATTTCCATCTTATTTGTATTGCCAGCAAGAAGTTTGGAAAGTCTGTTGTAAGTTGTAATCCCTGGGTATGGATTTCAGTTACCTGCTTAACTATACCATGTTATTAAAGTTCATATATTTATGTAACCCATGATATATAAGATATTCCTATAAGATTTGCCTGCCTTGCAGAATTCCGTACCTGAAAGCAAATACCTTATTTCCAGCACTTATGCTCTCTTGGTGAAATGTATTATAAATATATTGACATTTATCCTAGGCCTATTTCCCATTTGCTGCATGTTGATGGACTTTAGCCCACATCCCTGAATTACTTTTCCAATGGCTTCATGTATATGATAAAGAGCATGGGAGATAAAATGGATTCCTGAAGAACACCATAACCCAACCACAGTGAAACTGAAGAATACTCCTGAAGGCCATGTTTTGGAAGTAGCCATCCTAGTAGGAGCAGAATCACCATTCTACCGTGTCCCCATATCCCAACATTAACACTCTATCCAAGAGGTAACCATGGTTGATAGAATCAAAAGATTCTGGGAGATCCAGGAGGACCAAGAGTGTCGTACTCGCCCCATCTTTTTCCTGCTACAGGTTATCTCACAGGGTGATCAAAATGATTTCTGTTCTATAGCAGCTCTAAAACTGAATTGACATGGATCTAGAAAATCAGTTTCATTCAATAGAGCCTTGAGTTGATCATTAGAATATATTATAATTAACCCAATATAAATTATATTAGGTTTTGAAAATGTCAGATGGTTATATTGGTCTGTTCTTCTAAAGGCTGGTAGAATTGTTTGAAATAACAACTGGAAGGAACCTTGAAGGTCTTCTAATCCAACTTTCCTGCTCAAGCAGGAGACCCCATACAATTTCAGACAAATGGTAGTCTAATCTCCTCTTAAAGATCTCCAATGATGGAGCACCACAACTTCTGAAGGTGAGCTGCTCCATTGATTAATTCTTCTAGCTGTCAGGAACTTTCTCCTTAGTTATAGGTTGCTTCTCTCCTTGATTAATTTCCATCCAATGCTTCTTGCCCTGCCCTCAGGTGCTTTGGAGAATAGCTTAACTCCCTTTTCTTTGTGGCAACCCGTGAAATATTAGAACTCTGCTGTCATGTCACCCCTAGTCCTTCTGTTCATTAAACTAGACATACCCAATTCCAACAACTGTTCTTCATATGTTTTAGCTTCTAGTGACCTAATCATTTTTGTTGCTCTTCTCTGCACTCTTTTTAGAGTATCAACATCTTCTACAAATGAAGACAAATATATGTGTCCTAGGATAATGTTGCAGGATCCAGTCTAGGTTGGTCACCGGGACCAGAAGTTTAATCTTTTGGACTTGTGCTGGAGCCCATCCTCAGGGAATGTCTCTCTATGGAATGGGTCACATTTTGGAAGAGAGAAGTTCCCTGAGGATGGGCTCCAGCACAAGTCCAAAAGCTCAGAAGATTAAACCTCCGGTCTCGGTGACTGACCCAGATTGGATTCAACATCTTTTTTATATCATGGCGGCCAAAACTGGATGCAATATTCCAAGTGTGGTCTTACTAAGGCATTATAAAGTAGAACTTCACATGATCTTGATTCTATCCCTCTATTAATGCAGCCTAGAATCTCATTGGCTGTTTTGGCAGCTACAGCACACTGCTGGCTCATATTTAAGTGATGGTCCACTAGCAGATATAAACAGCATTACATTTGAAATTGTATTTTTTTAAAAGAAAAGAATTTTTGAAAGTTTAAAATGAGTAAAAATGAATGCAAACTAAAATTGAGTAAGAAAGAAAAAAGGAATAAATAAAAGAAAGCAAAAGTGCAAAAAGAAAAGAGAAAAGTTGGATGAAAACTAGAACAGAAAGAAAAAAGTTAGAAGTGGGTTCTGATCTTTGAAGTAATTATAAGTACAATTGTAGATTTCTTTCTTTCTGTAAAGTTGTGTCATGACTCTTCTTTCTATAATTTGTCCTATTTGTCAAAACCATAGATTATAAGTTCATTTTTCTTTTTAATGCAAAAAGTCCATAAGGAGTTTCCAGTCAGAATAAACATCTTTTCTCTAATCAAACAGATCAATTTGGCCATCTCAGCAAGTTCTATCATCCTCACCAACTAGTGTCATAAGTTTGGCAGATCTTTCCATCTTCTGCATACGATAATCGTGCTGTGGTTATCATATATAAAAACAAAGTTCCATGAAATTGTATTTTAAAAAATAAAATAGTTTTAAACAATATTAAAAATGTAATTCACGACAGCAGGGAATTGCTTATTTCATTGTTCTGTATAATTCAATAATTGATATTTTAATTGTCACTAGTAAATGTTCAAATGTATTTGAGTTTATAATTTGTATGAAAGTATCCATGAATATGTTATCTTGGACAACAGAAAAATATCTGGATTTTTTAAAATTGCCAGAATTGCAGTTTGTAGGACTAAAAGTAAAACAACAGTGATAGAAGGAAAATGTTTTTCTGTAAAATTAGATTTAAATAATTGAATACTTTCCTTCTCTTAAGAGACACAAATACTTGATTTATTTTAAGATTTGATTATGTTATGAGCTGACAACTTTTCAAGTATTTGTAATATCATCATGTAATATGATTGCTCTTGCTACTTTCAGGTCACCTTTTCTTTCTGAAAATTAAATGTGTTAATAATTCCAAAAATATGATTGCTAATGAGAGTCTGTTTATGGCTGTGGCAGGGTATAAATGTGATACTGTATATAAATAAAATAAATCAATTCCTGAAGTTGACAATACATTGCTTTGCCACACCCAAATACATTTTAATGTGCCAAATGCATAAATGGATAACCACAAATTGACGTAGAAGTTTTATTTGCTGCTTTTATTTTATAATTTCTGAAATAACTTGGCAAAAAAGTTGAGTACGTAACTGTAATGGGATAAAAACATTCCAAGCAGAAACAAAGGCAACCTCTATTTTGTCTACTTTGTGAACACATTTGAAGAGAGAATCATCTTGGAAAGGCAACAGCATTTTTGTTATGGTCATGATTAAGTTTCAAGTAAATATTCAGCATTTGTTTCACATGTATAGATAAATTATTTCTTTCCTAAGCTATAATATCACTTGGATGTATGCATGTTTTCACAGTTCATTACCTCCTTTTTTAAAAAATACAGTTGAAGAACTGGAATTTGGTTTTCTATTTAGATGTTCTGCATAATCTTGCACCAACATCTTTGGTGATCATTGTTTCTAGATGGTTAGACCTTGGATTTTTGGATGCTATTTATTAACATTTTTCCAGAACTTAAGAATAAGCTGATGATAGAACAGAGATGTGGCCCTTTAATTAATAGAGGTAGGTTCTAGTTTGCATTCAGACTAGAAAAGTACTGTGGAGCTCATCAAAATGTATGCTTGATGTGCAATACTTTAAAGCCATAGGAAGCTTGAAAACATTTAATGATAAAAGAATATGCAGTCTCAAAAGCAAAAAGTTATTTTTAATGAACTCTAGATAGATTTTTTTTAAACAATATTTGCAAATATGTTTTGGCAATAATTGCAGAATAAGATTAACCATCCTCTGTTGAAACAGCCTGATAATAGTGTCATATAATAAGCAAAAGTGATTTTGCTTATTAAAAGAATACTATTAACTGAGAAACTGGTTTTAAAAAATCATAAGTGAGAAAGAAATTACATTAACGATAGATTCATTTGTTAAGAACACTTCTGTCCACAAATGACTAGATCCTTGGGCATTTGATGAGGAAGAAAATTGAATATCACCAATTTTGCTTGAATAAGATGCTGGCAGAACAATGCAGATCTAGGTAACCTGGTGCCATCATATTTTGAAACACAGCTCCCATAATTCCTTGTCTTTGGTCATGCTTGAGCAATTGGGACTGAAGAGAACTTGAGGCTAAAGCATTTGGAAAATATCAGCTTGCCTAATTTTCCAAGACAAAACCATGTTCTAAATCTATAGTTCTGTAGTGTAAACAAACAAACATTTCAGCTGTTGTTGCCTACTTTTGTTGACCATACAATTAATGGTCTTGTATTAGATTAAACTCCACAGATAAATATACTTGCCCTTCAAAGCAGTAATTTCATAAGCTATTTGTTTCTACTAAAATCCTCTGCGTCATAATCAAGAACACAGTATCAAAAGTTCAGGGTCAGAGAAAATTTACAGCCTGATCCAACTAATCAAGCTGAAATACCAGCTAAGCTAAGTATTTCAAAGAATACTTGTCAAAATTACAATTATACAATCAACAGAGAAATTAAATGAATTAAATGTGGGAGTTTCTCAGTAGTTGGTCCAAAATCAGCTGTCAGAATCTGAATTAAGATGACCAGTTGCAACAGTTTCAGAAACTTTATTTTCAATCTAGAAAATGAAGGAATTTTTTTATTCCCTTGGTACTGGCATGGCAGCTAGTCAGTCTCTAATGCCTTCCTTAGAGAATAAATTAGGAATTGCTGTACCTGGTGACAGAGTATACTACAAGTCCTCTAGAGTATGTGGTATTTTGAAAGTTGTGATTCATTTAGTGACCGAAGTTACAATGTCACTGAAAAAAGTGAGAATCATTTCTAAGACAGAACTGGTACACTCTTCCAATTGAAAATGTAGTGTCATTTAGCAGAGAAAAAAATTATTTTTCCCAGTTTTTACACAATAATTTTATTCTTGCTCTGTGGGGGGGCTTTTGTGTTTGCCTAGGTCACACTGGAAGTTGGGGAACTCAAACTCCCAGAAGCCTTAGGCAGTAGAGACAATGATAACGAGTAATGGGAAATGCTTTTATCCTTGAAGAGATGCAGATTGGTTCCTTACATGGGAATGTAAGGAGATAATATTAGCTGTTGCTAGTGCTGATTTTCCCAGAGGACTTCAGTACCCTTAATGCTTGCTACTCCCATTAATTTCTAAATATTTTCCAGTTAAGTGGGATGTTGTATAAGCACTTGTATTGCATTATATTATGTT